ATATGTGTTTGAGGCAGGCTCAAGGTATTTAACATCTTAATGCACTAAATAAATGGAAAGAACAAGGCTTTATTTTTGCAAAACTTGTGTTGCGACCAAGTATTAATGGTAGTCGTCATTGTGACGCTAACATTTCCTTTTTTCAGTTTTGAAGAGGAAGCCCGCAAGAAAGATAGAGAACAGAAAAGACAGGTATTCTGATTTCTTTGTAATGCCGTGTCAACGTAGCAGATTGCTTATTATTATTATTATTTTTTTTTTTTTTAAAGCTTCTGATGAGGAAGGATTACATGCTAACAACTGAACTGCGTAGAGCGGGCCCGGCATAATTATCGAAAACTCCAAACCCCAACAAAACAAAATTTAAAAGTTTCATCAGAACTATTTATTTGGGCCATATTCAATTTCAGAGGTACTAATGCAAAAAGATTTTCTTTAATTGTATTTTTCAAAGAAGAAAATAAACTATGAAAATTGTCAAGAGAAGATAAGAATCACACCATGATGGGAAAAAAAAAATCGAAGCAAGTTTTAGTTTAGTTTTTTTTCAGTTGTCAAGGTTTCGACAACACCCATTATAAAAAGGAGAGGACATTTCTGAAAGTAGAACGCATAATAAATAACAAGTACATGATTCCGTTTCTCTCCTGACAAATTAGAGCTGCAACGTTAATTCAACGGGTTCGAAGCCTATATGGTTGACTTTAGAGCTCTAATATTTCAGACTCTTTGAAAATCTAATCAATCTTTGTCCAATATATCACAAATGAAAAAACTTTGAATGATAAAACCTTTGTTTCACTCACCCACCGAAGCGGCGCAGCAGTGTTTTTAAAAGCTGCTAACTTGTCAACTAGTGTCATATGCTTTAAACATTTTTAAATGGAATATCTTCCTTGAGGAAATTAAGATGTAGTTTACTTGTAACTTTCTAAATTTTACTTTGTAGAAAGCGGAAAGTAGCGGATTGATATAAAGGTAGCCATTAGGAGGGAATGATTTTCCGTCTCTGTCTTATCTTTGAGGGGCTATTGGAGAATATTTTCCATTTTTGAAATTCCATTACAGCATTGCAGCATGCAAAACAAAAATTTATATTCACAGAAAACTTTTAAACTAAACTGAGCAAGCAGCGTAACATATTGATTAATTGCTTCAGATTTCTCAATTTAATTTCTTCTAAGTGAAATAAAGCTGTCAGGGACTGTCTATTTGCTCGAGTTGTCACACATCTTGTTACACCCTCCGTCAGTCGGGTTTTTGAATCGGCTGTTTGGACGCACTCAAGTTACCGAAACGTTGTGAAAAGGTTGCCGTCATAAGGAGGTGGGCGTTGGGAGGTGGAAGTTACTCTTGAGAGAAAGACATTGTTGGAATGTGGCGTTTGTTAAAAGTTAATCGTTGTTGAGAAAGTTCCCGTTGTAGGGAGAAGACCGTTTTCAAAACGTTGGGCGCAGCAGTTCCACAGAAAAAAATAGACCGTTGATATCAACATCAACAGAATATGAAGTTTTTAAGATGATGAAACTGGAAGTTTATGCGATGATCATGGATATTTTGGATGCTGATATTAACTATTAATATCAAAATGTTTGTCCTCTTTGCAGAATGAATGCGCCTCCATAATTCAACGGGCTTGGCGTCGACTAATATCAAAAAGACTTGAATTTCAGGTAATTTGATATAGTAATGACAGTATAATAACTTTTTAAGCAAATGAAGATCATCGCAGTATATACTCAACTTAAGCAGTTGAGAAATAAGGCCTGAAAAAAATTCAGGCCTGAACGGGAATTCATGACCTCTGCGATACCGGTGCAGCGCTGAAAGCCATGGGAAATTGTGATTTTAATACCCGTAGATGGAGAAGGTGTGATAAGAATACATGAAAGTCATATATTTGTACTGCGGAAAATACATTTTAAGCAAATGAAGATCATCGCAGTATATTGCTTAAAATGTATTTTCCGCAGTACAAATATATGACTTTCATGTATTCTTATCACACCTTCTCCATCTACGGGTATATAACGATCACAATTGACAAGTTGGCTTGATTTTGGTGGAGCGCTGCACCGGTTCGCAGAGGTCATGGGTTCGATTCCCGTTCAGGCCTGATAAAACTGATGAGTATTACTGCGATGATTTAAATGATATAACGAACTTACAATTGACCAAATCTCAGAGAGCGCTGGGTAAGGTATGGGTTCGACTTCAGGCATTTTTTTCAGGCCTTATTTCAACTGATGTCATTTGCTTAAAATGTATTTTCCGCAGTACAAATATATGACTTTCATGTATTCTTATCACAGTATAATAACTGTTATACATGGTAAATTAAATCATTTTGTTTTATGGAGCGATTTTAGTTGTATAAAATGATGGGATTATTTTAAAATAAAACAGGAAGGGGGTTCCAAAGATTAGCATTAAAACATTTATTTCAAGATGTTTACAATGAGTTCGCCTTAAAGGAAATCCAAATCGAGAGTGGAATATTTCACTCCATGTACACTGGGCTTCAACTTTCCAACTCTTCAAAGATGCTTATGGTGACATCTTATTACAATCACAATGAAAATAAATAGATTAGAAAAAACAAAACAAAACAAAACAAACAAACAAACAAACGTGATGCTTGTGAAAAACATCCTAACCGAGACTGAACCAGCAATATGTCATTGTGAGGGGGTGGCTGTTGTAAAAAAGAGGCAGTTCATGGGAAGGTGTCCTGTGTACAGAGGTGAACCTTTGAGGAGGTGGTCATTTCTAGGAAGGCAGCCGGTGTACGGAGGTGACCGTTGTAGGTGGATGACTGCAGAAGAGACTTTTCGTAGACAGTAGACCTCTATTATGTAATTCAACATGGCATGACGACTTTAAGATGCTGATATTCTATGCTGACATTATCAAAATTGTTGTTTACTTTGCAGAATAAATGTGCCGTTAAGATTCAAAAGGCGTCACGTCTTATAAATCTTAACTGCAAGTTTCACTATTAAAACTTTCTCGGCGATTTTAGTCGTAGTCTGATCCAACAAGATGAGATTCTTTCTAAAAGGCATTATTTGTTCCCTTTCGACTCCATGGCCTTATCAGGGAAATGGATTCACAATTATCATCAGTATATAACTACTTATCAGTTTGTAATTACTGCTTTTCTCCTGACAGAACAAGGCTGTCAAATTAATACAGAGAGCTTGGAGAAAGCATCGAAGAACGAGGAGGGTAATAATTTTTAGCCATAATATTCTGTATTTTTCATATTTTATCTGTAGTCCGTGTTCAACTTCTACATTTTTAATCCTCCACATAGACCAAAAAAATTGACTGTAAGGGGAGAGAATTTTTTTGTCTTTGAAAACACATCTTGTTGCCCCCCGTCAGTCGGGTTTTTGAATCGGCTGTTTGGACGCACTCAAGTTACCGAAACGTTGTGAAAAGGTTGCCGTCATAAGGAGGTGGGCGTTGTGAGGTGGTTGTTGTTCTTGAGACGAGGGCATTGTTGGAATGTGGCGTTTGTTGAAAGTTAATCGTTGTTGAGAAAGTTCCCGTTGTAAGGGGAAGACCATTTTCAAAACGTTGGCCGCAGCGGTTCCACAGAAAAAAATAGACCTTTGATATCAACATGAACAGAATATGAAGTTTTTAAGATGATGACACTGGAAGTTTATGCGATGATCATGGATATTTTAGTTGCTCATATTAACTGTTGATATCATAATGTTTGTTCTCTTTGCAGAATAAATGCGCGTTCATAATTCAACGGGCTTGGCGTCGACTAAAGTTAAAAAGACTTGAACTTCAGGTAATTTGATATAGTAATAACAGTATAATCACAGTTATACATGGTAAATTCAATCATTTAATTTTATGGAGCGATTTCAGTTGTATAAAATGGTGGGATTATTTTAAAATAAAAAGGGAAGGGGGTTCCAAAAGTTAACATCAAAAATTTTCTTTCAAGTAGTTTACAATGAATTCGCTTTTTTAAAGGAAATCCAAATCGAGAGTGGGATATTTCACTCCATGTACACTGGGCTTCAACTTTACAACTCTTCAAACGTGCTTATGGTGACATCTCATCACAATCACAATGAAAATAAATAGATTAGAAAAAACTAAACAAAACGAACAAACAAACAAACAAACAAACAAACAAACAGTGATGCTTGTGAAAAACATCGTAATCGAGACTAAACCAGCAAGGTACAGAAGTTAAATCATATTTCATAGCCTCCCTTAATTAAGTATTGTAGACATTTCATCCACTCTTTAGTGATATAAAGCCGACAAGGTTCCCAGTTACAAATATTTTTCTAAATTGGGCCTTGACAAAAGAAGAGTGTCGTTGCAGTTGGGACACGCTTTAGTTGCTGTGTCATTGTGAGGGGGTGGCTGTTGTAAGAAAGAGGCGGTTCATGGGAAGGTGTTCTGTGTAGAGAGGTGGCCCTTCTGAGGAGGTGGTCATCTCTAGGAAGGCAGCCAGTGTACGGAGGTGACCGTTGTAGGCGGATGACTGCCGAAGAGACTTTTCGTAGAAAGTAGACCTCTATTATGTACTCCAACATGGCGTGACGACTTTAAGATGCTGATATTCTATGCTGACATTATGAAAATTGTTGTTTACTTTGCAGAATAAATGTGCCGTTTAGATTCAAAAGGCGTCACGTCTTTTAAATCTTAACTGCAAGTTTCATTATTTAACTTTCTCGGCGATTTTAGTTGCAATCCGATCCAACAAGATGAGATTCTTTCTAAAAGGCATTATTTGTTCCCTTTCGACTCCATGGCCTTATCAGGGAAATGGATTCACAATTATCATCAGTATAAAATTACTTATCGGTTTATAATTACTGTTTTCCTCCTGACAGATTGAGGCCGTCAAATTAATACAGAGAGCTTGGAGAAAGCATCGAAGAACGAGGAGGGTAATAATTTTTAGCCATAACATTCTGTATTTCTCATCCTTTATCTGTAGTCCGTGTTCAACTTCTACATTTTTAATCCTCCACATAGACCAAAAATATTAACTGTAAGGGGAGAGAATTTTTTGTAAACACATCTTGTTACACCCCCGTCAGTCGGGTTTTTGAATCGGCTGTTTGGACGCACTCAAGTTGCCGAAACGTTGTGAAAAGGTTGCCGTCATAAGGAGGTGGGCGTTGTGAGGTGGATGTTGCTCTTGAGACGAGGGCATTGTTAGAATGTGGCGTTTGTTAAAAGTTAATTGTTGTTGAGGAAGTTCCCCTTGTGGGGAGAAGACCATTTTCAAAACGTTGGCCGCAGCGGTTCCATAGAAAAAAACAGACCTTTGATATCTACATCAACAGAAATATGAAGTTTTTAAGATGATGACACTGGAAGTTTATGCGATCATCATGGATATTTTAGATGCTCATATTAACTGTTGATATCATAATGTTTGTTCTCTTTGCAGAATGAATGCGCGTCCATAATTCAACGGGCTTGGCGTCGACTAAAGTTAAGAAGACTTGAATTTCAGGTAGTTTGTTATAGTAATAACAGTATGATCACAGTCAAACTTTTTGTTTACTTTGCAGAATAAATGTGCCGTTAAGATTCAAAAGGCGTCACGTCTTTTTCATCTTCATTGAACTTTTATACTGCAAATTTGCCGCCATAAATTGAAAAGATTAAAATAAGAAGAGCTCAAACTCAGGGTACTAGGAGATAGTAATAGCGGTTGGTACAGTGTTAGATGGCAAGTTTTATCATTTAACTTTCTCGGCGATTTTAGTTGTAGTCTGATCCAACAAGATGAGATTCTTTCTAAAAGGCATTATTTGTTCCCTTTCGACTCCATGGCCTTACCAGGGGAATGGATTCACAATTATCATCAGCATATAATTACTTATCAGTATATATAATTACTGCTTTTCTCCTGACAGAACAAGGCTGTCAAATTAATACAGAGAGCTTGGAGAAAGCATCGAAGAACGAGGAGGGTAATAATTTTTAGCCATAATTTTCTATATTTTTCATCCTTTATCTGTAGTCCGTGTTCAACTTCTACATTTTTAATCCTCCACATAGACCAAGAAAATTGACTGCAAGGGGAGAGAATTTTTTGCCTTTGAAAACACATCTTGTTACACCCCCCATCAGTCGGGTTTTTGAGTCGGCTGTTTGGACGCACTCAAGTAATTTGATATAGTAATAACAGCATGATCACAGTTATACATGGTAAATTCAATCGAAACGTCAAAAATTTTCTTTCAAGTGAAAAGGTTGCCGTCATAAGGAGATATTTCACTCTATAGACCAAAAAAATGGACTCCAAGGGGAGAGAATTGGGCTTCAACTTTACAACTCTTCAAACGTTGTGACATCTTATTAAATCACAATGTGGATGTTCCTCTTGAGACGAGGGCATTGTTGGAATGTGGCGTTTGTTAAAAGGTAATCGTTGTTGAGAGAATTCCCGTTATAAGGAGAAGACCATTTTCAAAACGTTGGCCGCAGCGGTTCCACAGAAAAAAATAGACCTTTGATATCTACATAAACAGAATATGAAGTCTTATGATGATGAAACTGGAAATTTGATGCGATAATCATGGATATTTTAGATGCTCATATTAACTGTTGATATCATAATGTTTGTTCTCTTTGCAGAATGAATGTGCGTCCATAATTCAACGGGCTTGGCGTCGACTAAAATTAAAAAGACTTGAATTTCAGGTAATTTGATATAGTAATAACAGCATGATCACAGTTATACATGGTAAATTCAATCATTTAATTTTATGGAGCGATTTCAATTATATAAAATGGTGGGATTATTTTAAAATAAAAAGGGAAGGGGGTTCCAAAAGTTAACGTCAAAAATTTTCTTTCAAGTAGTTTACAATAAATTCGCTTTTTTAAAGGAAATCCAAATCGAGAGTGAGATATTTCACTCCATGTACACTGGGCTTCAACTTTACAACTCTTCAAACGTGCTTATGGTGACATCTTATTAAAATCACAATGAAAATAAATAGATTAGAAAAAACTAAACAAAACAAACAAACAAACAAACAGTGATGCTTGCGAAAAATTTCCTAATCGAGACTGAACCAGCAAGGTACAGAAGTTGAAATATGATTTATATTTCATAGCAGGGTTGGTCATCCCTAAATTAAGTATTGTAGAAATTTCATCAATTCTTTAGTGATGTAAAGCCGACAGGGTTCTCAGTATCAAATATTTTTCTAAATTGGGCCTTGACGAAAGAAGAGTCTCGTTGCAGTTGGGAGACGCTTAAGTTGCTGTGTCATTGTAAGGGGGTGGCTGTTGTAAGAAAGAGGCGGTTCATGGGAAGGTGTTCTGTGTAGAGAGGTGGCCCTTCTCCAGGGTTGGTCATTTCTAGGAAGGTAGCCGGTGTACGGCTTAACTGCAAGTTTCATTATTTTTAAAACTTTCTCGGCGATTTCAATTGTAGTCTGATCCAACAAAATGAGATTCTTTCTAAAAGGCATTATTTGTTTGCTTTCGACTCCATAGCCTTATCAGGGAAATGGATTCACAATTATCATCAGTATATAATTACTTATCAGAATATAATTACGGCTTTTCTCTTGACAGAACAAGGCTGTCAAATTAATACAGAAAGCTTGGAGAAAGCATCGAAGAACGAGGAGGGTAATAATTTTTAGCCATAATATTCTGTATTTTTCATATTTTATCTGTAGTCCGTGCTCAACTTCTGCATTTTTAATCCTCCACATAGACCAAAAAAATTGACTCCAAGGGGAGAGAATTTTGTTGTCTTTGAAAACACATCTTGTTACACCCCCGTCAGTCGGGTTTTTGAATCAGCTGTCTGGACGCATTCAAGTTATCGAAACGTTGTGAAAAGGTTGCCGTCATAAGGGGGTGGGCGTTGTGAGGTGGATGTTGCTCTTGTGACGAGGGCATTGTTGAAATATGGCGTTTGTTAAAAGTTAATCGTTGTTGAGAAAGTTCCCGTTGTAAGGAGAAGACCATTTTCAAAACATTGGCCGCAGCGGTTCTACAGAAAAAAATAGACCTTTGATATCTACATAAACAGAATATGAAGTCTTAAGATGATGAAACTGGAAATTTGATGCGATAATCATGGATATTTTAGATGCTCATATTAACTGTTGATATCATAATGTTTGTTCTCTTTGCAGAATGAATGTGCGTCCATAATTCAACGGGCTTGGCGTCGACTAAAATTAAAAAGACTTGAATTTCAGGTAATTTGATATAGTAATAACAGCATGATCACAGTTATACATGGTAAATTCAATCATTTAATTTTATGGAGTGATTTCAGTTATATAAAATGGTGGGATTATTTTAAAATAAAAAGGGAAGGGGGTTCCAAAAGTTAACATCAAAAATTTTCTTTCATGTGGTTTACAATAAATTCGCTTTTTTAAAGGAAATCCAAATCGAGAGTGAGATATTTCACTCCATGTACACTGGGCTTCAACTTTACAACTCTTCAAACGTGCTTATGGTGACATCATCTCATTACAATTACAATGAAAATAAATAGATTAGAAAAAACAAAACAAAACAAAACAAACTAACAAACAAACAAACAGTGATGCTTGTGAAAAACATCCTAACCGTGACTGAACCAGCAAGGAACAGAAGTTAAATCATTTTTCATAGCGTCCCTTAATTAGGTATTGCAAAAATTTCACCCACTCTTTAGTGATATAAAGCTGACAGGGTTCTCAGCAACAAATATTTTTCTAAACTGGCCCTTGACGAAAGATGAGTCTCGTTGCAGTTGGGACGCGCTTTAGTTGCTGTGTCATTGTGAGGGGGTGGCTGTTGTAAGAAAGAGGCGGTTCATGGGTAGGTGTCCTGTGTAGAGAGGTGGCCCTTCTGAGGAGGTGGTCATTTCTAGGAAGGCAGCCGGTGTACGGAGGTGACCGTTGTAGGCGGATGACTGCAGAAGAGACTTTTCGTATAAAGTAGACCTCTATTATGTAGTTCAACATGGCGTGACGACTTTAAGACGCTGATATTTTATGCTGACATTATCAAAATTGTTATTTACTTTGCAGAATAAATGTGCCGTTAAGATTCAAAAGGCGTCACGTCTTTTAAATCTTAACTGCAAGTTTCATTATTTTTAAGACTTTCTCGGCGATTTTAGCTGTAATCCGATCCAACAAGATGAGATTCTTTCTAAAAGACATTATTTGTTCCCTTTCGACTCCATGGCCTTATCAGGGAAATGGATTCACAATTATCATCAGTATATAATTACTTATCAGTATATAAATAATGCTTTTCTCCTGACAGATTGAGGCCGTCAAATTAATTCAGAAAGCTTGGAGAAAGCATCGAAGAACGAGGAGGGTAATAATTTTTAGCCATAGTATTCTGTATTTTTCATATTTTATCTGTAGTCCGTGTTCAACTTCTACATTTTTAATCACAAAGACACAAAAAATTGACTGTAAGGGGAGAGAATTTTTTGTCTTTGAAAAAATTACTAGTGCTTATTTATTCCAGATTGGACAAGAAAAAAAATAAATGATTTTATTACTAAAAAATGACAAACGTGAATTGAGATCATCCTGGATTATCTACACAATTAAACTTTATCACTATATAAGTACTGCTTTTCTCCTAACAGATCAAAGCAACCAAATTAACACAGCAAGCTTGGAGAGACTACCAAACTGGACGAAGGGTAATAATTTTTAGCCTCAGTGATCTAAAGTTTACTTATTTAATCTGTAGTCCGTTTTCAACTTTTACATTTTTAAACATCCCAAAGACCAAAAAATATTGACCGTAAAGGGAGTGAATTTTTTGTCTTTAAAAAAATTACAAGTGCTTATTTATTCCAGATTGAAGAAGAAAAAAATGATTGATTTTGTTACTAATAAATAACAAACGTGAAAAAAACAATACAGTATTGAGATCATACTGGTTTATCTACACAATTAAACTTTATCAGTATATAATTACTTCTTTTCTCCTGACAGCTCAAAGCAACCAAACTAATACCGAAAGCTTGGAGAGAGTACAGAACTAGACGAAGGGTAATAATTTTTAGCCTTAGTGATCTAAATTTTACTTATTTCATCTGTAGTCCGTGTTCAACTTCTGCATTTTTAAACATCCCAAAGACCAAAAAAAATTGACCGCAAGGGGGTGAATTTTTTGTCTTTGGAAAAATAACGAGTGCTCGTTTATTCCAAATTGAACAAGCAATCATTTGATTACTTATAAATGAAAAGCGTGAAAAAATGTAATTTATGACGTTTGAGTGACATGGGAACGTGCCATCAGAAATTAATATTCTGATGGCACGTTGAAGAGGTTCGCGTGGCATCATGGAAGTTTCGGATTATTTAAGCGTTTCATGGGAAAATGAAGTCATTGTTGGTCGGTCAGTATTATGTTTGACCACTTTCTTTTTTTTTTCCTTTTGTATTAATATGCTTTTCTTTTTCAAAGCCCTGTAAACTATTACGACATTCATTAACTTTTCTTTCTGATTAGCAGCGTAACCAGGTTAGTTTACCCTTTCCTAAGGGTTTTGTGCTGCTGTTTGTCGTATCTGGCGTGGCACAGGTTCTTTTTGTAGAACCCTTGGTTTTCAGTGTACAAATGTTACGACCATTTTAGGATGCTTATACTACAAGACTGGCTGACTCATCCTAAATAAACTTTTCACATTAATTGAATAACTCGTCTGAGTGTAGTCAGAATATAGTAATTCAGACAGCTTTTCATATTAATGCTTATGCAAAGCACGTGAATATTATACAATGTTACAATTAGTTTTTAATTCAATATTTCAAACTACAATCTTCTCCTCCTCCTTAATTTCTTATTTCGTATTCACGTGCGGCTCACGTGTGATATAATCTAACGAGATTTGAAGTTGGCATTGCCAGCTGACGCGGACACTTCCGTGTACTCTTTATTTTTGTCTCATTTTCTCAGACTATATACAATTTTTAAGCACCTTTCTAGCCATCTGATTGGCTGTGTTTCTGTAACATTTGATAAATTTATCAGTATTAAAGGCTAAGGGTTTAGCCATGAATGCAGAGCGTTCCCATGCAAAACTTAAGCCACCGGTATCACCATTCCTTGCAATGCACCAATGAAATCAATTAATTTTTTCCATTTTGCTCTGTGCAAAGATCCGTAGAAAAAGAAAAAGTCAGGAGATGTCCGATTATCCTACCAAAATGCGAAGAGTGGAAGATTTGGACAACGTTGATTTCCAGGACCTATTTGAAGTTAAGAAACTTGGGGAAGGAGGCTTTGGCGAGGTAGGAGATTCTGTTATATAAGTAATATAAATATAAATATATATTATATATATATATATATATATATATATATATATATATATATATATATACATAAATATTATGAGAGGGAAAAAGGGACGCACGAAACAGGCTTGTCGGGAAATGTAGTTGCGTCCCTTTTTCCCTCTCATAATATTTATTCTGCTCTGCTTCAACGTATTGAGCACTGTTCCATATATATATATATATATATATATATATAAATATATATATATATATATATATATTGTGGGAGGAAGAAGACAAATAAACTAAAAGTTCATCCTTACAGGCCTGTTTCGTGGTTGCCCACCCATCAGGGGATTTAGGAAAATTAGAGACTTAAATTAGAGATAGTTATGACTTGTTTAGTCTCAAGGATTGATTATTTTCAAATTTGATCCATGGTTCAGTCTATCTTCAATTCTTATTAATTTCTTGGGGAAAGAGGGCTGCTGCAATGCGGAGTCGTTCGGCGTTTAGAAGACTGGGGAAAACCAAAACTAAAGGTTGCGTCAATTAATGTCACTACAAATTGCTCAAAGTACTGTTAAGCAGATTCTTTAATGCTTGGCTATTCTATTCCTACTTCAGGTAGCGCAATTTTATTGCCGAAAAACCCATGGATATTACGCAGTAAAAACCTTTAAGGAGAATGAAGCAAACAAATCGATGGTGTTGAAAGAAACATTCATCCTCCTCCACTTGGCCGGGAGTTCCAGGGTTACCCAGTTATGCCGGGCGTTTACCATCAAAGTATGTACCTAAGAAACGGCTTTTGAATACATACAGAAAGGTTGGCTACAGGAGCAGATAAAACACGTCCATATTTAGGAATCTTTTACTGGCGTGGCCATGGAACTTTGCACATCGTAGCAGTGGAGTGATCATGCCTTCAGGAGGCAACAATAAGCGTGCTGAGGAATTCATTGTTTTAAACTGAACGCAAGTTGAGCCTGCCACTATCTCAGTCAGTTTTTTTTATTAACGAATAGTTAGTTATTGTTTACGAGCCAATCTTGGGGTCCAAAGGATTTGGGGGGGGTCTACTTGATTTTAAGGGGGAAGGGAGGAGGGATTAGTCGTCGTTAACAGAGCATAAGGGAGGAGCTTGAGGAATTTGATTGTCAATGAAATTCCAATGAGGAAGAGTCAGAAAGCCTTAGGGAGGGATTAAATGAATTTTAATGAACGATTCATTAAGTAATTAACGCCAGTTTGTTGAAAAAAGAAACAAAGCATTAATCAACACAGCCGTGATGCTGATGTCAATAAACTAAACAGAATGTTTTTGTTTCAGCTCACAAAAACAGCCTTAGCGCTTGAGTATTTGCCCGGTGGGGACTTTGCTGGAGTTCTGCGAGCCCAGGGAGGAAAACTGAGTGAGGAACGCGCCAGGTACGATTTAAATGAAAAGAAGTTTCAACGCCTTGTGAAGGAAAACAGCTGAGCATCCCGGAAGTGTTTAAAATTGTTATCCTAATCGTCACTCATGCTCATTAAATCTTTACCAACATGTAGGCTTTTTCTATGCCGCTGTCAACGCATTCAGTTTTAAGTTTGCAGACTTGCAGTTGCTTATTTTCTTCTGACTAAGACCCAGGTTACAACTTAGAAAGTCAATTAAAAGTATTCATACGACAACGTCTGGTATTTCAGGTTTTACGCCGTCGATATCGGCCTGGGATTGAAATATTTGAATTCGAAAAAAGTCATCCACAGGTATGTTTGTGGCATAACGTACTCTGGAATGTCTCATTCTGAAGAAAGATTTGTTTTTTCCCCGGTGTTTTGGAACCCTTTATAAAACAACACAGACGATATTGATAACCATAACAGTAACGACAGAGAAAATGACAACAACAACGATAACAATAACACTGACGACAAGAATAACAGGAACTAGAGGGATTATGGGAATGATAAAGAGAAATATTTGAAAAATAACGCAGCCAGTATACACCCATTTCTTTCCGATTGCTACAAGGATACAAAAAAATTTTCTCGTTCATTCCGGCTTAATTCCAATGTCGACTAACTTACCTTCCCTGTCTAACCAGCTTTCTTGATGCAAATTGGCTGAAACATAATGCACCACTAGCGGTCGAGAAAAAGAAAAATGTTTTTTGAAATCGAGGAGCCACAATTGACATGAGCGGTATGGGATTGGAATCGAGAAAGAACGGGTAGAAGATTTTCCATTGTAACAGAAAAATTGATGCAAATCTGGTTTGCCCTGATGTAAAGTAATGTACACTAAAAATGAGTGAAAGAAGTTTTTGCCAACTTATTTCATCAGAGATCTAAAACCGGAAAATATTCTGGTAACCTCAAATGGCCACCTGAAGCTGTCAGACTTCGGTCTGAGCGAATTTGTCGTCTTTGCAGTCACTGGAGTATGTGGAACTTATCCATATATGGCGCCTGAGGTATAAGGCTTGTAGCAGATTACCCTGAAAAGTCTTTGTTCAAATCGCTACTGTTTTTTTCTCACTAATTATTTATCTTCTCTATGGGTTTTTAAGAAAGTTCTTCTTTCTTCTCCTCCTTCTCTGAGGGTAAAATGTATTCCTATAATCTTCCGCTATGGTCAATCTTAAATCAAGGCATTGTCAAACGAGACCCAACAATTTTCTCGACAATAAAGGGGTGGGTAACCTCTCTGCTTGTCACGAGAATCTGAAAAATTACGATAAAAAACATTTTTTATGCCTCTCCGCCCTCAGTTTCGGACAACAAATAAAGTAGAAAGACCCCCCTACTACACGATCCTGACCGCGCCCTTGTTAATACACTGATGTTTCAACCAAGCTCACGCAGTTGAATTTGTTAATACACTTTTTGCAATGCCAATAAACTCCACTTAATCTGTTACAGATGATCATGGGAGAGTCTTATACTTACTCTGTGGACTGGTGGTCCTTTGGCGTGACTTTATTCCTGATGCTGACCGGCAAGGTTTGTACAAATAATATTGCAACAACTCACACATTGCAAATATGTTTACATTTGTACACAATAACTCGCCCTTCGGAAGGACACAAATGCTTATGAATCAAACTTTTGACAATGAAGTAATCATTAATTGCCATTACGGATATCAAACTAAAAAGGTCTGTTTTAGTCTTCAGATATCCTAAAGGTCACAGAACAGATTCCATCAAAGGGACAATCAAAGAGTTTGGAAATATTTTACCACCGAGAGATTTGGAAGACAATTAAACTTCCACTCTGATATAAATCATCAGCCCATTTCAATAGTTTAGAAAGGCGTGGAGTGATTAATTAAATATTTTCATTTTTCTGCTTATCAGCTACCATTTTATGGTAAAGACAAGAGAGAACTTTTCGAAAACATCGTATACACAACGCCTGATATCCCCAATTGGCTTGGGAGAGAGACCAGAGATTGCCTTTTCAAGGTCAGCCAACGAAATCCAAAGTTATACGATTTAAGTAAATAACTTTCTTCTAAGATAAGTGAGGATGTCCTCTTTTGTTTTAAATAATACCGATTTTCTCAAAATTATCATACATAACCTCTGACAATTGATCTCCTTCTGCCCCACTGCAAAATTAAGTTTGATTAAAAACATTGGCATTTAACATGCACACGTGACGCGAGGAATCATAGAATTGCTTCGGTAAATTTGACACAAAAATCACCAAGATTCCGGTTCAAGAGGAAATACAAGAAATTTACAGATCAATATTTTCAAATTTTTCAAGCTGTAACTGACACCCTGAGGTGTGTACTCAACAAAATTTAAAGTAAACGTTATGAACGAACCAAAATTAATTGAATTCAAAATAAAAAATTAGATCATAGAGGTTTACGGATCACAAACTTTTGTGATGAACTAAAAGGACCCACTGTAATTTGCAGAAAAAAGTTTAAACAACTCTCTTTTTAAAATGTTTCTAAATTAATATTTTTGGCAAACACTGAAGAGGAAATAGTGCACTTCATTTTTTAAGTCAGGTGTTTCAATTTTAACGAAACAAATCTTTTATTTCTGTATAAGCAGCTTCTCCAAAAATGCCCGGATGTGAGGCTTGGCGTTGACAATTTTCAATACCATCCGTTCTTCAGCTGTCTTCAGTCTTCAGAACCTTTGGCACTTGCATGTGGTTCATCCGCGGTAAATACGACAGCAGAGAATGAGGTATGCTGATATCAGTGCCAAGTAGATCCAAAATCGGTCTATTTGACTGTAAGGGGTTTCATGGCAGATAGTGCTTCCTGAAAATGTAGCCAGAATTTCTCATATATCCATCTACGATTCATGTTTTCTCTTTTTAACCTCAACCTTCTTTACTTTCTTTTGGTTGCTTCTTGTCTCTTCAGGTTTCTCTCTACCTGCAAAAATTGTTACTAGAAAATTTCCCTCGACTATCATAATTTTCATGAACTCAAAAGACAAATAAAACTGTCGTGATGTAGCTCCTTAAAAGTCCTCTTTAGTAACTGACCTGTGCACCGTCTTCAAACCAAGCATAATCTGAATCATCCGCCAGGCTATCGAGTCAATTTCCTGCGAAAAACGATCGATTTACACCACTGTCGCGCAGGATTTGTTAGACTCAAAACGAGAATCTTGATGACATTACAAATGTTCTTACAGCACATGGTCTCCATTTCTTCTGTTCCCTATTTCATTTGCATCTTCTCCACTTCGTTATAGATTGACCAAATCTCTGGATTTTCATCCCTACTGTCAGACGATGAAAGCATCATCATTGCTGTAAGTGTATAATTCTCTTCAAAAAAATATAAAACAAAAAGATATTTAAAGCTGGGCCCCTTTTAATTATCACTCTGGAATCGATAGTTAGCCATAACAATTGTTTCTCTTCTTAATCTTTGTTTCTTGACTCAATCTGACGCTACAAGTGTTTAACAAAAAACTTTTCGACAAACCTTCAAAAGAAAAATGGATGAGGCAATAAGCACCAATAAAAATATTAAACGAAACCAAATAAGAACCAAAAGTAAAGTGATAAACATTACGGGTAAGAAGCGCGAGAAAACAGCAGTGATCAAGTCACATGCAATAAGTTTTATTTTTGTATTTGATTGGTTGAGACAGTAACGCCAGTTTTCTCTGCAACAGACCCTGCGCAACTTTGAGCTGCCGATCACCACTTTGAACTGGAAGAGGTGAATATATCCAGTTCAAAGTGGCTATCGCAAGTTAAAGTCGCGTTCGTCAGTTAACACAAGAACAAAGCCCTTAATAAGTATTGCGTTGTTTGGTTGCGAAAGTGGCAGATACTCTGGCCAAGTAGTTACCAATCAGAACTGTACGATCGAGAAGTGCACGATCGATCGTTCGAGCCGTTGTTGGAATATTTGCCTTTAAGTCATTTCACTCATTCAAAATTAATCAATCCATCCAATAAGTCGTTTGTTTATCTTCATATTAAATCAGTACGTTTTTCTAATTTGTCTTTTTTTTTTCTTGTCCTAGGATGATAATCCTTCAGATTAATTACAAGTTTTGGGTTTTCCAAATCTATGTTAAAGTAGATGTGAATTTATCAATGTAAGTGTATAAGGAATTTTACTATGACAGATGCATCTTTATTGGTTTCTGAATGGATGTGAAGATAGTCTGTTATCGTACATAAACCGACCTGTTTCCCAATAAGTAGCTCAAGTGTTTCGCCCTTCACACCCTGACTAAGTCAGTCTGTATATCTTCCACATCGTTCTCTCTAAGTTTCCTATTGCACCGGCAAGGGAAATTTTTAATGACAATTAAACTGAGTGGAGTGCAATTTGGTCTGAAATCACACACGTATAAGATTAAAATGGAACGAGCGACGACTGAAAGATGGGTGAAATACGAATGAAATAAACCCTAATATTCATAACAAAACTGCATTGATTATTGAGAGCTAACCGTGGCTTTAGCCAGTGGTAACGTATAGAAGGTTTTATTCACTAATCCCAATTTTTTTCCTTTTTTGCAGATGTTCAATCGTAACTGAATAAAAGATAGTTTTTGCTTCGATCTAATGAATGTGTTTCATGTTTGTTTGTTGCACAAATGACTGCTCACTCCGAGAGATCTTCCTTCTGCAACCAAAACCTACAGGAAATAACAATCGCCTTGAGAAACTTTTAAAAACAGGAGGCCTCAGAACGTAGAGTAAAATTAAATGTCTAATAATTACAGGGACTATTTTGTGTACAGTGTGTGCTAGAGTTTCGATCGTTGGAGACAACCAAAAAGTGGAAGGCGAAATTGGTGGCAGTACTGCTACAATTCCCCTTGTTATAACCGCTGAACGTCTTTCGCAAACTGTTTCACTCACCTCCACTGACCGAGATAGCAATAGAAGGGGCAGGTTCCATCTCCTCTCTTAGTACATTTGAACCTGAAATAAGCAGCACCGTATTAAGCGGTTATAACCTGTATATAGTGGTCAGTTGTCAAAGTCCCGAATTTCAGGGTTTCCCCTTAATCTCTGTAATTTTCACCTCGATTAAGCGATCGTGGTCATCCTTTACCGAGTGTCAATGGCCTGTTTTTATTGTCTTCCTCCTGTATTGAATGTGAACGGTCACTGAAAATGGGACTACTCAAATAAAATCAAGAATAATCTTTCAAATTATTTTTTAATCCCTGTTTCTCTTACAAAATCGAAGTAGGTAGTATTTTCGAGCGAGATTCTGCACATTAAGTGGTCAATTATGGTATAAAGTGACGTTGTTTAGCGATTTTTTTTTTTATAATACCCCTAATCTGTGGAACCAGCTGTTTTAAGCGGTCACTCCGCCATTCCCCGTGGGTTCGAATGCCGGTATGTCAAAGATTGATGGTCAGGCCTCATTGATGATGTTGGGTAGGACAGGATTTCGGAGCGGCCGAAAGAGCTTGGGAATGACTCGCCTGCTATCAATCAGCGGTTGTTGTGCGTAATGGCGGACATTATAAGACATGTTGAAAGTTGGACCTCTCTTTCTAGCGTTTCTTTGCAAGAATTCATTGACAAGAAAATAAGTATTTGTCTCTGTGACAACAGTAGGAAAGAAGGATGGGTACTTGCCATCGACCCAGTGACATACACCGTGGTTCTACAAGAAGAAACGGATAACCTCACTTCCAAGAAGCTGACTTTTATTCTAGGGCATGCGATCACGCGCGTTGTTCAAGAGGAAAATGGAGGTGACCGTCCGGCAAAGATTAATTTTATTGAATTGGGAAACTCTAAGGAGTATTCAGAAGATGAAATTTTGAAACGAAAAGGCGATCTGATCGAGTGGCTGACGAAGAATCGAATTCCAGTTACGGAAAGTTCGGAAGACAATGCTGTATTATCAGTAATGGGAGTTCTACTTGTGGAACCTCCGTATGATCCTGAAAGCTGCAGATGTGGCAATGAAATCGTGTTGGATCGTATTCAGAAGCTTATACGGGCACGAAAAGATCACGATTGACTAAAATGCTCTTCAGAAATACTTGAACCCAAGGTTGTTCTTAGTGAAGGCTTGTGCTTAGGAGAGCCTCCTTCCAAGCTAAACCAAATTTAAAGAAACAGCGGAAATGGTTAACTCTGCCATTTTGTGACCACAAATTTGACACTTTTGAGAAAGTACTTCTCACATGGCCATCACCTAGTAACCGATGTCCTCATATAAAATTGGTCACTCTTTGGGGTTGAAGGGTTAATTTTTTCAAATGGGGACACATATCAAAGACCCATTGGGACACCAAATATGAGAAACTCTTTCCCTTTGTAACTTCCACCAGTCTTTAATGAATATCATATGCAGAATGCATCTCTTTGTTTGTTATTACCCAAATATTTAAAATATAATCTAATACAGGCATTCCACACAAAAATGTCTATTTTGTACTGACATGCTACCTAACAAATTTTGATATAACCACCTGCAAAGCATCAGTTAAGGAAAGAATGACATCATAAATTTTAGAGATATAGAGGTCTCAAGAGGCTTTAATGTAAACCTAAAGCTCAGAATGAAAGCTTACCAGAGAGAATTAGTCATTAGAGACTTCACATTAAGGACAGTTAATAATAGTTTCTGCTGATTTACTAAGTCACAATCATGAGTAAAGACATACTTCATAATAAAGCTGGCCAGATTGCCTTTTTTTAAAGGAGAAGCTGAATTACCCAACAACCTTTCTACTGCATAATTCACAAGAACTTTTCCCTAGATATTTAACCCGAATTGAATTATTTACTAAAGTATGAAACCACCTAAGCTTGGTCTAAAAATAGTATTACACATTTTAATGAATAATAACAAATAAAAAACTACATGCCAACTCTAAAACTGAATAGAGAAGCATACTTTTAAACTTGAAAAAAGCTGTATATAATAGTAGTGATTTAAAATGAAACATCTTTATCTTATGAGAATTTTCAACTCATTTTATTACTTAACACATTATACTAGTGGAACAGTGTGATCACTTAGTGATTGGGTATCACATTAAACTCAACTTTTATAATTTGAAATCACTGTAATAATGACACTTTTCTCCACTCACAAATAAGGAAGATTGAACAGTTTAATAAATACAAAGGTCCCATTCACACCAGAAAAACATGTTTTGTCAAACTGTGTATAACTGAATGAAAATCAAAAACAAACAGAAAACCTGAATTTTTCATCCAAGAAAAATTCAGGCTTATTAGGTATTAAGTAATCACCGAAATGTATTTATAAAGTACTAAATTTGAAGTCAACAAACTTGGTTTAAGTGGCTTCAATGAAGAAAATATATTTCAATGAAGAAAACAATTCTAAACCATGTTAAACAAAAACAACATGTTTAAGCTTTGGTGTGCATAGTGTTCAATAGGATAACTGCTTGTTACAGATGAAGGAGCACTAAACTGAATTTTTTATTTTATCTTTTTCTATGGGAGGGGGGTGCACTTAGCAAGCTTTCACAAAAGCAATGCTCCTGGTATTCTTAACTCTTTAACTCCCAGATCAAAATTGTCATTCTCCTTACTGTCAATCATACAATTCTAATGATGTTAGTTCAGAGAATTTGGTATTGGATTAACTAATTATCCCCAAACTGATATTTTTCTTTATTCTTTTCACTTATCTGGTTGATAATGTATTAATATTTTAAGAAGAAATCCTGTCTTGGTCACTCATGGGAGTTTAAGGGTTAAATAAGAGTGTATGTATGTGTGTACATGAAAAATATTGCCAGTGGCAGATTCATCTTCTTTTCATCAAAAGAGAGAATTGAAGGATGCTTTCCAAAATATTCATTACCAGCTTTCTGCTTACCCAACCCATTTTAACTAATGAAGTTAGGACTTACTGGAAGATTTTGCACGATACCTAGCATAAACCCTCAGAAAGAGAGCCACAAATACAATAATCACACCAAACATTGCTTGAGCTGACAGAGGGTGGTTATACAGGATACACGACAGAAGTATGCTCAACATCATCCGTGTGGTCATGATAATGGTGAAGACAATTGGACCAAATGATTGAATGGTGTAAAAAATAAACAGCTGTCCTGTTGCTGACATGAGAGACAACAATACAGCATGGAATGCAAACTCAGGGTGGCTTAGTGCAAACCAAACTGAGGACAAGAAGCTTCCACCTTCAATCATCGACCACATTGTGAACAGACTGGAAAAGAGATTAGTTCCTAACATCATCTGCATGGAGGACATTTTGTGTTGGGTGAACAGCTCTGACTGCCAATTGGAAGTGAAGCTGTCAAATGCCATATAACCTAAGAGAATAACAGCACCTGAAAAAGTTGTAGCTGCTGCAGTTCGCTTTCCTGATGGATCAGCTGCCAAGAGAAAGAGGCTAACCCCACCAGAAAGGAGAACTGCAACAACATATTCATAGTATGGATATGTTTTCTTTGATACTATTTTCCCCATAATCATAACAGGGATTATTTTTGATGCTTTACATAAGACTTGCGTTGGAAAACTGACAAATTTCAATGCCTCATACTGACACCAGCTGCTCATTATATTTGAAAAGGAAGAGTATGAATACTTGTACAGCGGAGCAGTGTGACGTGGTTGCCGGGTGAATATTATATAAATAAGGGCTACTGTCAAAGCCAGGATGCGGTTAATGAATACAAGGAATTGAGAGTTTTGGAATTTCACAAGTTCTACAGTCCCATCTGCCCTACGTTCTTCATAACTTCTTGTCATGATTCGTTCTTGTAAGACTCCCCATGTGAGATAAGATACTTGAAGACCAGCAGCACAAAAGAGAAGCTTGATAGTTGTCTGAGAAAAACCTGGCGAAGGAGGGTCCTCTTTTGGTTTAATGCCACCATCCTCAACGCTTGGGGTCTCTGGTGGTGTGCCAAACACACAAAGCTGAACAGAACGGAAGAGGCAACCTGTACCTGTAAGCAATAAAACAGACAACCATAAATATCTCGGTTGAGAAAAAATAACTATCCCTAGAATAGGCACATACATAGCCCTCATGGGCATGTTACAGACTCACATAATGACCAGTGTTCTCCCTTATTTTATGCATGAAAGGTAAAAGAAATGTTCAAACTGGTGGAGCAATCCTTTTTGCTTATTGAAATTTCAAGAATTCTGCACAATTTTCAGGTGGTAATAAGAGTTACTAAAAGCAGTAAATTTAACTGATTAATATCTGAAAAGGAGACCACTGAATGACCAGCTCAGTTTAAAACATTCATTTTACTGCTGGATAATTATATATGATCCCATCCCAAAAAAAAAAAAAAAAAGGGAAAAATAGGATTTATTTATATTTTACTCGTTATGCAAGGCATGTATCTCTGTATTATTTGAAGGGGACTTTTACAGTCATGCAGTGCCGTCAACTAAATTCATATACTTCATGAAACTGTTCATCCTTAAAGTTTTCCCTTGACTAGCAGTCTGCTTATATAACTATGATCCCAGTGATTATTCTTTGAAAGTTGCCCTCAACCCTTTGACCCTAAAAGTGACTAGCATCTAATTTCTCCTTACAATATCACCCCTGAATCAAAATGTAAGGTTGAGGGAATGAAGGCAATGATCACCAACTAAAAAAGGTCTAGATTGTTTCACAAATTCTCCCAATCAGCAACTTGGGAAATGTATGGAGAAAGTATGGGGAATATGTATACTAATGTTAGGGAGTAAAGGGTTATACCACATGGTCTGTGCTTATATAACAATAACTCAAGTAGTCTCCACAGCAACCACTCTCACATAATGGCATTTGTTTCATAAACCTTTTAGGAAATTCAAACAAACATTTTAATAAGCTATTATCATTTCCACTGAAACTTCAGTCACTGCACTTTTACTATTTGATTGGGTTTACAGGGACTTCCCTAATCTTTTGCAAAAATGGTCTTGGTTCACTAGCAGAAATTCAGGAGATAAACCCTTGGCCAGTCATGCACAAACTTCTGTGCCCCATTTGTATTGCCTCAATGTGCCTTCCCCCCAATTAAACTAAAAAGTTGACTGTCATTTTTTGCCAAACCAGAAAAACTTACTGAAGACATAATTTGCACCCTTGAAAATAATCGTAAATGGATAAATGGGCAACGCTTTACTACAACTGATACTATTATTATGGAAAATTAATACAGTCAAAATTGTTCATTCAATGATCACTATTCTCAAGAGACTCAGGTGGCCCGTAGATATGTTTTAAAACCTGTTTATAATATAAGGAAGCTATGTTTTTGGACAAATACTTGCTACTTTCCGCACATAAGAGGGAAGTACATCTACACGACTATTAACGTCAGACACAGTCACCAGCTACCACCTAAAGCTCTACGAAACTGTGGGCTGACATCTCTATACTGCAAAATTTACAATCAGTACACGCATGCATAATCCTTTAGACTTACCGCTTCTTTCGTTGAAGTTCGAGTTCTTGAGCATACGAATAATGAAGGCTCCGGGTATGATTATTGTCGCATAGCCAAGAAGGTTCCATGACAGATTCGTGATCCAATTGTCACTGGCAGAAGCTTCACGGGCACCCTCTTTAGCATTAGTTCCTACACCACTCTGAGTATTTCCTAAGTTTTCATCTCCTGTTGCCTGAGCGCCGTATATTGCCACAGAAAGTAGCAAAAAAAGTAAACGCATAACGTAGATATTTCTTCGAAACATCTTGAATTTTATGACGAGATTTGCGTAATCGTGCTTTGTGGTCACCAGATCAGACACTGCAGTGGTTAACTAGAATTTACGAAAATTCTATACAAACAATTTAAAAAGGCAGGGTTTTCATTTCACGTTGAATATTCAGAGCAGTGCACTTTGCCACGTACAAAGCTTCAGATCACCGCCATGACAGCAACTTCATAACCGCAAACATGACCGTTCAGGTCCAGTTTCCCCGGTCCATCTTTAATCCCACAACTCCTTGCAAAACGCTAACGCATTTATTTTGGAAAAGAAGAACGTGAATAAAGTGCAAGAAAACTCAACTTAGATGATAAAAAAATGTATGTAAAATAATATTTTTCCAAATTTTTTTTCTCCCACTACCCCCTAGCAAGCTTGCTTACTGTGCCGTTTGCGATTGGACCCCCACCAGTCACACTAATTCAGACCTCAAATTAGAAAACCAATCCACAGGAAACCTAAGCGAAGAAAGAACACTTAAGAATTAGCTACTCAAAGGCAACAAGAAGCCACTTCAAACGATATAATTTTTTCCTCCCCGCGATGATAATTGAAGTTAATTGCTTTCGCCTGTCAGATATCCTTCAAGTTCGACCTGTTTCACCAGCAATCAAATTTTACTTCAAATACCACTGCTATGTTCCATTCCGCGAATCTCCACTAACATGTAACAAGCTTATTCCTGTTATGAATGTGTTTACCTCGACCATCTGCTATTGTTTTAGGGACTGCCATCTGGTTTTAAAGATGACTCTAGGACTAAATTTTGTTACAAGCCAATGAATTTTGCGAAATGTTTACATTACCATCCGCGAAAAGAAAATAATTTGCATATTCCACAAAAGTATAGCCTCAATTTAATCTGAAATCACTATAGCAAAAATTTTTCATCTGTGATACATTTGCTTCCCTCTTGTGTTAGTTTCACGTATTTTTTGCGACCTTTCAAAATCGTGTGTTCACAAGTCTACAGCTTCAAACTTCATTTCGACCGATCGTCCAATTTTCCCCAATAACAAGTAATAGCTGACCTTGAAGCCAAAATTGATTTGTTTCGTTTCCTAGCAAACGAAACGATAACTGCCACGCAACACACAAATTATGGTCTATATTCGAAATTCACATTGAACATCGGATTCCAGGTGGTTCCCGATCAAAAATTATCCATCATGACAAATCGGTGACAACTAAATCCCTAGCAACTCACCGACACACTTAGTCTTATTTTTGGTCAACTCGTTGGTATCTAGAGTGAACTCGCCAACGTTCATGGTTGACACGGCAACTCCGGAGATGACATGATTAAATAGTAAAGACGTATTTTAAAAAGTATTTTTAATATAGTTTTGTGCTTTAAAAGAATTTCCACATATATCTAAAGAAGAGACTCCAAGTACTTTTAAGAAAGTCAGTAAATTCATCTAGATTTTCTATTTTGCCCAAAGTAAAGAAATCTTCGAATGGCCCAAAGAACATAGCTCTTTGTATCCCGAGATCAATACAAAGCTGTACTGTTGTATTGTTGGCGAGTTCAACGCGTCGTAAGACAGAAAGGTAACCCTCTAATACCTCTGGATGACCACAACGCCCCATCTTGTCAAATATGACAGTAAACCAAGCACGTTTGGCTCGAAGTGGTGAAAACCCCGTATGGGCAGAAAAGGGGACATTTATCATATTACCACAAGCCATATGAGTTTTGTTCCTTTAATTAACAACTTGAAATAATCATACTGTGTTTTACCTCCAAAGAAATCCGAATTTACAAATGGGCGGAAAAAAAAACTAGGAAAGAAATGTGTCTATTTCACTGACAGAGCAAACAGCGATCAGTCGTTCCATTTTTTTTTCCTTAGTCCGAAAAGCGGAAGAAACAAATCGTCCCCCGAAACATCATGCTATCAGTTTTCCGTCCCTTTTTGCGCTGGAAAGATAAGGAACATGTAATCTCAATGATTCATCGTGATTTTATTTTCATCGTGATTTTATTTTTGATTTTACGGCGAGTCACATTGACAGAGGCCCCTCAACCCTTTTAAAACTCTCAGAAGTGATTAACATTTAACTTCTCCCAGTTACATTCATACATTATCCAGTAAAAAGAGGTGATGAGAATACTCGAGCGGATCAGGTAGGAGTTGTCTTGGTCCAACACCAACTTCTCGTAACTAATTCACAAGGAGATGTGTAGCAGCTAGAGGGGAGAATTAGCAATCAGATCATGGGAGTTAAAGGGTTAATATTGTCACATAAATTAGCACCGAAAGCATTTCAAATATCTAAAAATATTGGCTAAGAGGTTATCTCCATTTGCTGTGCAGAAGCCGTGTTTCCTCCTTGAGCTCCTTAAACCGCTCCTGTATCTTATCAGTGATGTGTTTTCTTGTCTCCATCTGAAATGAACGAAGAGAAATATTTTTAACAATGAGCTTTTCAAACTTGCAAGAAAAAGATAACTCCAAAGTTAAACAGTTCACTTTTCCCTTGTGTCAACACACCTAAGAACAAGTCGCCAACGTCCACGGTCAACCCTCATTAATTATATAACGTGTCATTGCAAATAAGCCCAGTTGACGAATAAGGACGACGGCGAGTTAACCAAAGACGAAGGCGAGTCGACCAAAGCGTAGGCGAGTTGACACGTATACAATATGACCGGGCACCCTCCATGGGGAAAACCAGAAACGTGTCTTACCTTTCCCTCAGATCGACACCAGGGGATAATAAGGAAACGAACCATCCTTACTCCTCCAAGAGGTGTAATGCCGAAGCAGAACCCCAGACTCATTAGAACCTTAACTGGGACGAACAAACTTCTTCCCATTTGTCCCTCTACCCCTTGTAAATGTCATAACAAAAAAATTGGACCACAAGAAAAAATTTCAACATAGAGAGGATGTAATAGTGTAGTTTGATCGTCCGGGTGAGTGTAGTCCTGAGTAGGATTGTTATCGTTTCGACAACCTGAGCGGAAGTCATTATCAGAATCAAGCCAATAGTTGTTGTCTATCGAATGTTCTTAGTCCGGTTTGTATAAACTGATTGGTCAGTTTTGCCGTGATGTTGGCTGTAAAAGACTATAATTCTTACAGCCAATAACTCTGATGATGACATCCGCTCAGGTTGTCAAAACGTCAGTCACCACTACCGACAAGAGTCCTTCTCAGGACTACCCTCACCCGGACGATCAAACCACACTATTACATGTTACCCCTGGGTTAAAACCATTTACTGTATAGAGAGGATGGTAGACTGTTTCCACAAAACTGGAAAGGGGTTTAAAATTTGCGGCTTGCCGTCCTTGGCAAGGATTGTAGAAAGCTTGTTGGTACCCCATGCATTACTTGGCGTCTAACAAACTGATAATAATGATAATATCTCACTCGAAAACTTACCGCAGTTTTCTTGGCTTTTCGGTACTCTTCTACAGTCTCCGTGAACTCCATTGGTTCTCCTATGAGCACTGTGACTCTCTATTGTGAAAAGTAAAATTTTGTAGGCTTAGCTACAATGTAACTACCGAAGGGTAAGCGATGAGAGCATATTTCGGCATGTTAAGCATGAAGAATCCAATCGCTACTCCGTTAAGAGGTGACATTCCATCGTTTGTAGCCACTATCCAAGCAAGTTTCCTTAATTATACTCTTGGGCGAAGGGTGGATGTGTAAGATTAGAGAGTCTTACCCAAGAATGCTACACAATCAGGGCTTAAACCTAAACTTCTTAACCATAGACTTTTCTATCAATAGTGCTCATTCTCAGATCCAGTGGTCTCTCGTGAGAAAACATTCCTTTAATCTTTATAGCCAGTCAATTAATTAATCAACCACACAGTTGTTCATTCAACTGGTTGGTTGGTCAGTTTGTAAGTCAGTGGGTCCATCAGTCAATTAATTAAATTAATTATCAACTCAATCATGACTTACTCTGTCAGTCAATACATTGCTAAATAAGCAAATCCCAAAATCAGTTCGTCAGTCAATCAGTCTGTCAGTCAGCCAATGGGTCAGTCCATCAATTTGTCCCTCCTTGCCTCAGTGAGTCAGTCACTCAGTCAGCCGGTAAGTCAGTTTCTCAATCAGTCTGATGGTCACTAAGTCAGTCTGTCAGCCGGCAAGTCAGTTTCTCAATCAGTCTGACGGTCACTTAGTCAGTTTTTCAGCCAGCAAGTCAGTAGCTCAATCAGTCTGCCAGTCACTTAGTCAGTCTGTCAGCCAGCGACTAAGTTGGCCAGTCAGTCAGGCAGTTACACAGTCAGTCTGTCAGCCAGCAAATGAGTTAACCAATCAGTCAGGCAGTTTCTTGGTCAGTCTGTCAGCCACCCAGCAAGTCAGTCGCTCAATCAATCAAGCAGTCACTCAGTTGGTCTGTCAGCCAGCAAATCAGTGAACCAATCAGTCAGGCAGTCGCTTATTCAGTCTGTCAGCCAGCAAATCAATAAACCAATCAGTCAGGCAATCACTCTGTCAGCCAGCGAGTCAGTTGGCCAGTCAGTCAGGCAGTTACTCAGTCAGTCTGTCAGCCAGTAAGTCAGTTAGCTAATCAGTCAGGCAGTCACTCAGTCAGTCAAGCCATCGGTCAATCAATCAATCAATCAATTGATCAGTCAGGGTATCAGTCAGTCTGTCTGTCAGTCAGTCAGTCAGTCAGTCAGTCAGTCTACACCAAAATAGAAACCAACCTTCATTATTCTTGGAATGTAGGGACTATAATTAGGTAAAACATCATCCATTCCTACAAAAAGACAAGGAGCACTGTTAACACTGAAGGGTCCTTTGCAAATTAAAGTTATAAAGCCCAAGAGGTTCATATTCTACAAATTGTTATTAGTGTCTTGAAAAAAAAGAAAGAGAAAAGAAAAGAAAATGATACAAACAAGTAATTTTCTGAACATGAGTTTTTAAAAAATCAACAGTACTCTAGAGAGGTGCAGCATAAAAGCATTCCATATTCTAAATTCTCAACTGACCTAAGTGAAAGGGTGCAATGTACAGAGCTGTTTCTTACAACAAAAACAGACAAGATAGTTGTGAATATTTTCACAACATAGCAGGTGGCACATTCTGCTAGTTGGTATAGCTGTGCACCGTAACATTTCACCCAATATAGGGGTATAGAGTCTTTGAAAAACTGCACCAGGGCAAAATGTTCAAGAGAATATACAAACCATCACCATCACCATGACTTTCAAAATAAGTTCCAAAGTTTTCAACATTTTACTTTACCTTCATGCCAGAATGGGACAACAATTGGTGTTACTTGTGCCTCTGCAATTAGCCGCCCAACACCTGACAGAATAAACTCTCATTACTGGAGTAAAAGATTTAGGAAAGAAAGCTGATAGAAAATGGGGTGAGAGAATGTTTCTCAGGGATCTAAAAAGCTGGATCAATATTTCCTAAGGAACTCAAAATATTTGCAGACCATTCAATCCCAACGCTATACAAATGTCTTATAGATACCTGCACCTACCCCATTTAAGTCTCTTGATAGAATCATTTATATTAACAGCACCTAAAATGAATGAAGGAATGAAGATATTACTCACAAGTTAAAAACAAGTATCACATTGAAACAACTCAGTCAGTAAAGGTCAACAACCTCTAAATGACAGTTTAAAGGAAACTCACTGACACTTGTTGACAATTCAGGCTTAAAACTTTGCTTCAAAGAAAAAAAAAGGAATGGATAGTAAATGGTGTGATAAATGGTGACTCTATCCCTTAACCCTTAAACTCCCAGATCTAATTTGTCATTCTCCTCACTGTCAACCATACAATTCTTATAATTTTAGTTCAGAGAATTTAGTACTGGATCAACAAATTATCCCCAAATTGATGTTTTTCTTTATTCTCATCACTTATCTGTTTAATATAATTGTATTGATGTTGTAAGGAGAAATTCTGTCTTGGTCACTCAAGGAAGGTAGAGGGTTAAGCAATAATAGCAGCATACAAAATTGTTCTCCACACTGTTCTCCAAACACAACTAATGGTACTACTGACATGAATTTGTCCAAAGAACTAACCCTCTTTTCCATAGTAGTAGTCTTACAGGCAGCTGAACACCACTGGTAACTGGCTTTTATTGAAACCCCTGCTTACATGCATACCAACTATTGTGTTTTAATCAATCTTTGATATCACAAGTTAGAAAAATTCGATTTTCTGATAACTCTACTAAGATTCCTAAATTGTAAGCTCTTTAGCATTAATTGGTTACCTTCAGGAAAAACATGAATCCATTCTCCTTTATTCAATTGTTCGATAGCAACATCCACTCCTTTCTGAAAAATACCATCACCTGATGGATAATAATACTTTAAGTTAGACCTCTGCACCTCATCTTGGCAGGTTAAATGACTGACAGAACTTTCTTGAATTTTGCCATACTACCCTGGAAACTCATCAGTACCATCAATCACTACCCAAGGTAGTATTTGGACTGTCACAAGGTTTGTCTGATACACCTTTAAATTCTAACCACTCAGATCAAACTTGGAAAGTTTGATCTTAAGTGCAAAGTATTTATAACATTGAACTAAATGCCCATAAAGAAAAGCAAACTTAACATGTGAAATTTTGAACAACCATCAAAGTGAAGGAATGGCTTACCTCTGATGACAGGAATTGCCTAGTAGTAGACAAAAATAAGTGAAAATAAATAAATAAAAATAACTTCTAGGTTAACAGACTGCTGATTGCGGGTTCAAGCCTCTGACTAGACTAACACCTAGAGTCATAAAAATAATTAAGGAGATTTATCACTCTTTACATGTACATTTGTTTCTAAAAGACACTATTGATGGTCTTATCAAAAAACAAAAAATATATGTAGGCTCTTTCTCCTTTACCTACAATACCATGGGGTTTACAGGGAACACTAAAGAACCCACACACTAGTCACCAAGAGCCCCTGAGAGCTTTGTGTTCTGGTATTGTGATGTGGTCTTGGTCTATCAAACTGCTGAGCTCAGAGTGGAGAATATTTGATCAAACTAACAGATAAAGCCGCTACACAAATCCAACTTAGAGTGCATGAAGAGTGTTTTGCTTCACACATGCTATCTGTTATACAGGTTTATATGCCTTCTTTTTGTCTACAAAGTAACAGATCTGGCCTCATGCTATTAAATTCTATACATGTCATGTAGATGATAAGTGACTTAAGCCATTCACTTTCATCATCATACCTTTGCTCTGCTAAACAAGAAGGTACGGAAAGGAGTTGAAAATAGAAGTTCTTGAGCACCAAGAGTCCTGAGGAACACAGAGTGCTTCTGTCAGTAAACTACGCCTAAATACTGTTCAATACTAAGAAGATTATGTGGACAAAAGTGAAGTCATAACCATTTCCTGTTGCATAAAATTGCCAAGGAGTATGTCTACTCTTCCCAATACATCACAATTAACCCTCCCTCCTCTAGCTTTTCTTTAGTATCTGTGACAGTTTTCTGCCATCAGATTATACTCCTGGCAGGTGGAGCCATTGTGAGAGTAAAGAGTCTCTCTCCAGAACACAACACAATCACAATGTTGGGGCTCCCACTTAAGCATGTTACAAGTTCACTGCGGTAACCATTAGGCAACTCTTGTCTCAAGTATACCAACTCTGGCAGACCCTAAGAAATTGAGATGTCAACTATTTGGAACACTCACCATCGAATCTGTTTGCTTGGGTTAAGAACACTTTTTAGTTGTAAAAGTCCTACATAAAGAAACATGAAAGTTAGGTGCAAGATCTTTTATAAATAGATTGCTCTTCTTACTTTCATCAAGGGGCATACTCTGTACAAATATATTTAGAGGGTATTACTTGGCTTATAAGAGATTCAACCACAAACCCTCAAATGATGTGACTACTTACCCCACAAGCATGGATCATCAAGACAAGATGTATGGTTACACACTGTAACTAATGGAACCCCATCTGGTCTATCTTTAGCATTCCTCTCCAAAACATCGAAATTGTACTTTCTAACTGAGTTAAACCATTCTACAAAAAAGCAAAAAACACGGGGCTGTCAAATCATCTGCAAACAAATATTAGTCTACAAAGTTTTAAATACACATTTATATAAATGGTATATTTTTCACGCCGAGAGTATATTACATGTACCTGTATCATGCACGTTTTTGAAGAGAGCAATATGACAAGAAAGCTGCACATCTATGCATGACTTTCGATGGCCGAATAATCTAGAGGCTTCCCAATATTTATATTTAGTTCACTTAAGCTTACTTTTCGGGCATAATTCTGAGTTCAGATTTCTATAAATCAATAGTGTTGGTCATTTCACATCTTTAAGACCTGTTGATTTTGATACGATGGATAAAATTCAATGAGTTTGACACTAACGAAACACCTAAGTCTTCTTTAAAGGCGACCGGACAACTCTCTGCCAACACTCACCTAGAAATATTTTACTTGAGAGACCGATCAAGCCAATAAGGAAAGTACTTTGTAATCTCCAGGATAGTTTGTCCATAACTGCCATCTGTAACGGCCATTTTAACGCCGATTTCATGATCACTAAGTATCAAATGCACATGCGATACACCATGCAGCACACGACGTAAAATGTGCAATAATTTACACGACGTAAATAACAAGTACTAAGCAATCCACTGGAGTTACTGTTGCGGGCTCAAGGTTTCCCATTTACAAAATTTTAGGAGGGAGGGGTAAGTGGGGACATTCACGGAGAGCTTGCAGTTATTTCATTTACGATGAATTTCAATAATCACCGAAAAAGAAAAAACGTTGCACAATCGATGTGAATAGTTTTTTTTCTTCTTCTTCTTTCAACAAAAAAACAATCTATGTATGCCTTACCTATTTTTCTTCTACTGCAAATTATCCAATTCAAATTTGGAAAGGTAAACTAAGGAAGGGACTCCTGGATTCCACTTTAAATCCCAACCTTGATAGAAATAGGTACAATGAGGTACAATGAGACCAGGCAAAGTGTCTACACACAGTATCAAAGGCTAGTAACAACTAGTTGCAAAAGTTGAGACATGTAGCTTACAAGAGAAAATTGATCACCTTGCCATGTAACATAATCTCTACATGTAACCCCTACCCCATGAAACCCTGCCTTTGAAATAATCCTGGCTACTTACGCAGTATCATGTACAAAAATTAGATGAACAACTTTGAATCAGGGAAGGGGGACCATTTTTTTTTTTTTTTTTTTTGCAAAAAATTTATTCTTGGTCATCCTAGGAGTCCATAAACACATTTTGTACAAGGTGTCTCAACATTTTTACAATTGGTTGTACAGATAAATTCTGTTAGAAGAAAGGATCAAGGGTTTTCATGAAATGAACTGACAGGCTAGGATAATAGTGTCAAGTACTGTAATGGGAGAAAAAAAAGACAGCCAAGGTCAACAAATTTTGGCTGAATAATTCTGTACCCATTTTTTGATACCCTATGACACCTCAATCCTTTAGCCCCTAAGGGTGACTAGCTTCTAATTTCTTCTTACAGTATCACCCCTGAATCACATATGAAGGTCATGAGCATAAAGAAAATGACCACCAGCCAAAGAAGCTCTTGATTGTAAATTTTGTAAATTCTCCTTGTCAGCACCTTAGGAAATGTAGAGAGAACAGTATGGAGAATAAGCAAATTGATGTTAGGGTGGAAAGGATGAAGTGTCCTTTTGAAAAATGTCATTCAAGGTTACAGGACAGCACCAACAGCAGCAAAGTTTGCTTTCATCTCACATCAGTCTTGGCAGTCAGCTCTTCCTCTTCAGCGAGAATTCAAACTAGTTAACTAACACACAAAGTTATCAATTCAAAGCATGTATCACATTTCTTATTTTTAATTTCAGACTTTTAACTCCAGATTAATTCCAAAAATTAGAATTGCCAGTTGGCAATAAATCATAGACCAGTTTCAAAATTCAATATGGTTGGTCACTTGGCCAATAAATAGTGACAATGCAACATCACCATACACAAATAGAACAAAAATGGGGCAGGAAAGTCAGTTCAGATTCAAAGTTGTGGTTGCATCGATAGAATGAGTCCATACATATCTTGCATTTCAATAAAAAATTTTTCTACATGGTTTTTTTAGCATTCCTTAGCAAGTCCTTCCACAAAACCTAACAGTATATATTTTTGGAAATTAAAAATTATCAGTGACCTAACAGATATATGTCAGACTTAGCATCTCCAAAACCATTTCATTTTAAATTTCTTTAGGAAAGGAATCTTGACACATGCCCCTAAGAATGAATGTGAAGTGCAAGAGCAATGCAGAGCCCCACCCTCTGGTGTCCCATTTGGCTCTTACTCTGCTTACATTCTAGATGGTGATCCAAAAGAATATGGAGAGCCCATAAACAAGCATTTTCAAGAGGGAAACCAAGTGGTAATTATATGTTTCAATCACAACATGAAACAGTTTGACTGTTTAAAACTCAATTCCTAAATTTGTTACCTCTGTATAAAATACAATGATGCAAAAGTTTTAGGATGCATTTTTCCTTGCACATATTCCTACTCCCTAACAACTACCAATAAATCGAGTGGATGAAAATGCAACAAAAATGATGGATGTTTCATGTCTATAGAGATTTTTAGAGGAATAAAATTGAATATATTTAAAGTTTATTGCCTATTTAGCAACTATCATTAACTATTTAGCAACTATTATTAAAATTCTGTTTACAATATTCAGTGGCATTGGTGACAACGTCGTTCCAACTTAGAGACTAATAACAATTTTACCATCATTACTACCATTCAACCTCTTACATCTAACATCAGGGCTCCAAGCTCTACTTTTCCTGATAGTTACTATTTGAAAACTTTAACTTACAAAGTGGCCTCCAGAAATAAGAGTTTAGGCAGGGAGAGTAATGAATGGCAAAGGACAATTGGTGCAATATCACATGAATTACCTGTACCTAACCCTTTAACTCCCAAGATCTCATTAATAATTCTCCTTACTGTCTGCCATACAATTCACATAATGTTAGTTTGGAGAATTTGGAATTGGATCAACCCACAATCCCCTGACTGATATTTTCCTTTATTCTCATCACTTGTCTGATTGATATTTTATTGATATTGTAAGGAGAAATTATGTCTTGGTCACTCATGGGAGTTAAAGGGTTAATACAACTGACCAGATTGCTTTTCTTTGAAATAATCAAGACCACTGGCAATTTCACTGGCAATCAATTTAGGATGTGCACTCATATCACCTGAATCACCTGCCAAATTGGCCACTTGTACAAAAAGTTTACTTCCCAAGATTACTTTTTCCTGCTATAGCCACCAAAACTGTTAGAACTTTGAGTGCAAAATATAATTTTCCAAATTTCCTAGCTGAAAGAAATCAGGTTTGACAATGATGTCTGCACTAATATCACAACCCCTAAACGATATGCTGTGATGTCATAATTCTCCTGATGAGCTATTTCTGAAACCAAAGAGGTTCTTTAGCCAGGACCAGAGCCATGATAGTCCATTCATAACTGTTTGCAGGAAGCTAACTCCTTCTCCATGAAAAAGGTTTCCTTCACTGTCCAACACTTCTTCACTCTCATCATTTTCTTTTCTGTGATCACCAAGCTGGTCCCTCATCTTTTCTATGTCCTCCCTGGAGTACATCTCCATGCCTGGCATTCCAGGCATTCCCCTGAGGAAAAAAAAGAAGGAATAGAACAATATTGTTCATGTTTGCAAAAATAAATATGTTTTGCATGTTTTGGGCCTGAGTCAGAGTAGCTTTTATTTTGGGCTGCTAGGCAAAGGTTTAAATAACTATGAAAAGGGTTCAAAACCTATTTCTGCCCAACCACACAAACTTTATTACTACTGCCAACAATGGAGGACATTAGGAAAATATAAACTGGAAAAGGGACAACAAAACAGTCTGAACAATCATGCAAGTGTGAGAGGGAGCTGAAATACCACAATCTCTATTTAAGCCCATAAAATGTGCCAAATGCCTGACAAAGTGATAATAATTTATCTTTTATATTTCTACAAAATCCATTCAATTATTTATTAATTGAACAAGTTGGGGTTGGAAATCTGCTTTCTCTAATTTGCTTTTCCTTTATCTACCAGTGACATCTTTTTAAATAAACCAGTGAGTTTTTTAACATTCCCAGACTGCTGAAATATCTCTGACTATAATAACATCCTAAAATGTAGCAAATAATCAATATTGGCACAACACTCTGGTATCAAATCTTTAAAAACTCCTTACCTCATTTGTTTTAGAACTTCATCTGCTTTCTTTTCATCTTCAGTCATCACATGAAACTCTTCATCAACTTTTCTTTCTCCAGCCTTCAGCTTTGGTTTCTTTCCTTTGCATACCCTTGACATGGAGTAGCAAACTTCATTGATCAGTCTAGATAAAGTTAATTTGTCTTTCCATAGCAATTCTGCCAGATCTGTGTCGACATCTCCAACAGACTCCTCGCAAGCCTTTGAAACAGTCTGACATTCTCTTTTGCATTTTCCAACATCAGTTTGCTCAGAAAGTCTTAACTCTCCATCCTTTTCCACAAGGTCTATTTTTGAAATCCAACTTCCTTCCTCTTTCTCTGGATTGCAAGATTTCTCCACAAGCTCAATTACTTTATCTTCTTCTAGCTATCAATCAAAAAAATTGATTTTAAAAACAGCGAAGCCCGTATCAAGCAGTAAACCAACAAAAATTACTGGTGTCTCCTTTGTACAGGGCACCTGCAGGATACTAATTATTAAGTGGATTGCTTAAACTTACCAGTCGTTAATTGTTAACACCAAACATGGCAGAAAGATTTGTGGCCAAACCATGAGACATGATCAGTTTTGGTACATAGAGTAACACATAACATGCTAGATAATAAGTTATCAGAAATATAAAGAAATGTAATCTTCAGAAGTGATTCAGTCAGTAAAATGAACCTAAAATTTCTTGTCAAGCTATACAAGAATACAAGCTCATTGAGATAATGTCTGCTGAATGTCTTCTTACAACTGGGTGTTCTCTAAATGTTATTGAAATCCAGGGGGGTACCCAGGAATAAAAGTGACCCAGATGCAAACAATCAAGATTCAGAGTAACAGGTACATCAAAGGATCAACTGAGTTTGAAATATGCAATTTTGGGATTTTTTTTAAGGGTCAGAAGACATTCTTCTTTTTTTTGGCAAAAAGAGATGAAAACCAAATGGAAGTTTTTAAAGCAAAGGATTCATTTTTTAACTAATGTTAACTAATTGAAAAATGGTAACATTAGAAAAAAAAAATCAGCTACCAGACATTACTCAGAAGACTAAAAAAGCAATGCCTAAAATTCAAATATGTTCTTGCTGAACTAAAATCTTAATCTCCTTGTCTTTCTGTCAAACATAGTCATCACAAATTTTTCAACTTCAACAGTTAGCCTTATCTCTTCCTATTCATTAGTTTTAAGGAAGACAAGTTTTTCTAATTTCAAACTTTATGATGATCAAGCTGACACTGACAAAAATAAAAAAAAATGTAAACCACCTTTAGTTAGTAAATTTTCCAAGGCATCAAATGCAACACCACAATGTTAAACTTCATTCATAAATTTGAGAATCAATTCATACAGAGGATGGAAAACCCTGTTGAATCTCTGGATTTTTCATTTTTCCTTTCCCCTTTCATGACACCCTACTAATCTAGAATAAACAGAATAACAAAGACTGATAGCGTTCACTTATAAATATTTTATACCTCTTGTCTGAAAATTTCTTCAATTTGAAATTTTCAATAACAGACATCTGTCAAAAAAATTAATTAATAAATATATTTTAAAAAGTATTTCAGTAAAAAATAAAGTGTAAAAAAAACAGTTACTTAAAGTTGAACATACTCATCCACTAAAAAAATTCCAGAGCTGAACCAAAACAAATAAAATACAATTGGCTGGGTCTTGATCAGTATAGATATCTTAAAAAATAAGACAATATCTCACAGATCTTGTGAATTGCAACGCTTGCTAAAAAAAAAAAAAAAAAAAAAAAACAGAACAGACATTTCTTAAGTTATTTTCAATCAACCCTTCTATCTGTTAAAAGAAGTTAGATGATCTCAAATATCTTTTTCCAGGATATTTTCTTAATAGACATCTAACATTATTAACATCACTTTTGAACAACAGAAGAGGGAGATAATTTACATGTATTTTAAGGATCCAGGTACTCAAACTGAGGAAGGAAAATATAACAGGCTCTTTGGCCCTAATTCTAGTTAGTTCATAAATAAATTCATCATTCCTTCATCTAACTGGGTCACTTCTCAGAAGACTTCAAACATATCAATGGACTACATCTGGATTTGTTAAATCATTCATGAAGAAATTATTTGAACCAAACAGAAATAATCAAATAACAGAACTGATGGAATTATTAATAAACTCAACGACTCCCTGCTGCACACAATGACAACAAAGTTCATTTTCATTATGTCTGTGAAAAGCAGTATTGACTCAGAAATAAAAAAATGTAATACATTACAGCTATTGAAACTTTTTTTCTCAAATTCAAGAAAATAGTGCTCAAGTTTATGTGAAAACAAAAATTTGGCTAAAACTGCAGAACACCCTGCCATTCATTTACATGTCATTGATTAAGAATAGCGTCTATTGTGTATGCTTCGATCTTCATAGCCTCCCGACACATGTAAATGAGGTGGACCAAAGAGGCTTGGTATTCTGCAGTTACTCCAAAAGTTTTATGTAAAAAAGGTTTAACAAAGAATATCCACCCTGAGCTGGGTATGGAATAATGGGCATGTATTTGACTAAAAAATGAGAGTGTCAGTGTGGAAATGCAAATAAACTGGTGTGAATTTTAAATGTTTAAATGCACAACGTTGGCATAAAATATGTCTATGTATCGGTCATTAGCGGAAAAGAAATGCTTCTGCGGCTCACGATTCCATCATAATTTTCTTTTCCAAAAGTGCACCGGCAGTAAGACAAAAAAATTGGCGCAAATATAATGTCAGACATACCCTTTTCGGTTTTGATGTCCCCTCAGCTGTCCGCATATCATGGGTTTTGCCATATAAATACTTAACCGCCTTTTGACATGTTTCACATTTGATGTGAGGAATATCCTCCTTAATAGCGTAGTATTTTTCTTTCTTTGGTAACTGACTGTAAAGCGTAGAAATACATAATGATAATGTGAGAAAAATTAAGTGCAAACCGTGGGCCATTATCAACAAGTCTATGACCGTGACAGACTGGGATAGGATTGGGGTAGAAGCTTCACGTGTCAATAGTAAGCCAATCAGAATCACCAAAAGAAACGTACCCACAACGTTCTAATCCTAAAAGAAATCGATGTTCTTCACGAAGTGTACATTGGAAAAGTTTAGTTCTTTCACCTTACTTGGACGCCAAACTCAAACGTAAGTCACATTGATTTACTCAGTGATATTATAAACCTATTGACCAATAAGAAGAATTTCGAGAATGTCTAATTCGCCTCTACAAAATGCAGGATTCGAGACATTCTCAAACATCGCAGCGTTCGAAGATCCTGACTTCGAAGACGACTTTTTTGGCGGAATTCCGAGTTTCACTCAAGATATTTGGACCAACTCAAAGTGCAAAGGGATGGAAAACGATGACGATCTTCCCCTCACGAAGTATCTTTTGCAGTTCAACGATGATGAAGGATGGAATTCTGAGGAAGAACAAAGTATGGAAGGAGATAGTTTTGAATGCGAACGTGGAGGCTTCGGATGGGATATTGATCCTATTGACTTAGATGCTAATGCATTTGAGGATTCAGGGCTCACTCAGGATACACCCGATAAACCTAAGCAGGGAAAAGAAGAGGTGGTGGTAAAGGAAAGGAACTCTGTCGGGAAGTCGACCAAGATGAAGAAATCTGATCATAAAGAAGGAAAATGTAACTATGACCTCGACGAGAACGAGAGTTTAAAGAAAAGGAATCCAGGTAAAAACACTGTAAAATTTCATTCTGTCCAGAGCAAAGAAATATCAACCAAGGCCGTGGCACAATGTAGAGAAGTTTTCAAGAAAAGCACCAATTCGACAGCGGAGAAACAAAAACCCCTGAGCACCTCTAAAACTCAGGCTGAGAAAGCAAAACAACAGCGGGAAAGGAAGAAAAAGTACATTCAGGAACTGGAGGATACCATAGAAACTCTTAAAAGAGACAAGGCAATGCTAAAGCAGGCCAGCACTCAGCTTCATGATAAAATAGAGGGTCTCCAGGATGAAATCCGTTACTTAAAAGGCGTGATACAAAACCAAAGTGAATTGGCAACAATTTTGAGGAGCGTTGCCAACACTCCTGGTATTTCAATCAGCTGTGGTGTCTTGCAGGACAATGAAGGTAGTGATGGTAAGGCAAACAAAAGAAAATATAATGATCATGCAGAAGATTCTGGTGAGAAAGATTGCAATATGCATCACAAAAGGAACAAGAGAAAAATAGAAGAAAGCTCAGGTGACAAAATCAGTTCAACTGATGCAGGGGTTTGTGTTCATGTCCAAAGTGGTAAAGTATCACTTGAGTTCTGTGCAGAATGCAGCAAGAAAGCCAATGGTGCAATAAACTGAGGTGAAACAGGTCAAAGGAATTCAATGCATATAGCATACATGAAATTGTAGACACTGACACAGTTTTTACTTGAAAATTGGTAGATGAGTTGAATTTAAAGAAGTCTGAACCCACTCTAATTTTAACCCATTAGGCTATCATGAGGTCATTTGTTAGAGCATGGTGAGGCATCAATGATACTAGCACAGGGGTTGTGCGAGTAAATTATAAATCAAAGAAAAGTTGCCTAAACTAGAGGCATTCAATGTATCAGGTAAAACCTTCTTCTCACAATAACACTACATATTTCCTTTATAAATAAGAACTGTCCACTTTGATTCTGTCAGATATGAGCACTAACAATAAGAGGAATCTCCTTCAGTTTCATTTCTTTGCAGGTTTCAACATTCTCTCCAGGACTTTGATGTTGATAATACTAGGTTAGTATTGTGATACTGATGTTTGAACTAAAACCCATAGAGTATCTTAAGATACCTAAGCTTTCAATTTGTACCAACAAATTTATGTGAATGACTCAAAACAAAAGAGTGTCATGGCAGGCAATTTTCATAAGCAATATAAATTAATTTTTCATATTTCTGTTTTGAGAATGGAAAATTTATTTTTCCTAGTTATCACAGACTACCTAATTTTCTTAAATTAATGTTCAAGTTTTGTTTGTTTTACAAATTATTACATTGTTTCTCATTTTTTGAAAAACACAACATCTTCACCTGGGGTTCTCAACATACCATTTATATCTTCACATGAGATTATAACAATGTCATCATGGTAACTGGGTGAAGTACAATAGCTGCTACACTTTTCTTGAAGGGATTTTTTAAATCAGCATCGCCGTGGGTTGAAATCAACCTTATCTTTGGCGAGAAATGAAGTAATTTTACAAGAGAAGTTGTTTTATGACAGAAATTGAAGTAGATTTTTGTTGAAAATGTATGGTTAGATATGTACATATGATTTGTATTGGTGTAATAAACAGAATATTTCATTTCTGCTTGTGGAAGAAATGGTGCGGCTTATATGGCCAATAATCAATACCCAAAATTAAACTTCGCAGCCACAAGCAGTCATGTAATATTTTATATATCTTAAATCTAACTTTTTTCTTAAAAATTTTTTGATTAGTGCTGGATGAATGCACTGTAGAGGATACTTGCCACTCCTTGCACCCACTGGAGTCAAGTGTCTTTGTTTGGGGTGTGAGTTAAGTGTAAGTAAAGTCCCTCAAGGTTTAGTAAGTATTTTCATTTGAGGGACACAGGTAAAAGTTGTATTAGTTTCAAAATATTACTGTTAAGTATTTCTCGTTTCTTGTTGTATTTGTGTACATGGAGTTCTGTATGTTCTGAATTAGGTACATGTGGGAATGTAAACAGTTTTGAATACCAAGTTTTAAAGGTGACTTGCATTGTCCTGTCAATCAGGTGTTTACTACGGTTGAAGCAAACAGCAAAACCCTGCACAACAGGTAGAACTCGCTAAATCTCTGTGTGCATTATATAAATGACTTTCGTTTTTGTAGCATTACCACAGGGGTTTAAAAAAGGAAGGAATATCACCAAGAGGGTGATAAAAGGGTTTGATCTGGCAGTAAAATTTTGGAATTCATTTTGAAAAAGTTGAATCTACACCTGTTCAAATGTAAAGAAAATAGTTATTTAGTTTTTTCAAGCCATTTTGTTTTTCATTTAGCCAAAGGTACCTGTTTATTTTTGGTTGGAGGACCTGATTGACATGTCATTTTTTTCTGCCTTAAAACAAGGACATAAATATATGAAATTTTAGAATTCTTGACTGAAGGAGATAAAAATTGACTCTAATGAGACCTTTTGCATATGTTTTTTGATTATTACTGCATGTACCTGTGTGTGTATTTTGTACTTATCAGTTACTGTAAGCTGAGAACAGAGATGATACTACTCTGGATTAGCCATGGGCTGTCAAACTAGTGATACTTGGAAATAAAAAGAACTGGTTAGATACTGTTGTTGTGGCTTTTATTTATTAATTTCTTTTTACTATTGTGTATGTTTTTCCCCTGTATGTTTTGATGGATCAACATATCTTAACTCTTTAACTCCCAGACCAAATTTGTAATTCTCCTTTCTGTCAACCATACAATTCTTATATTGTTAGTTCAGAGAATTTAGTATTGGATCAACTAATTGTCCCGAAATTAAAAGTTTTCTTTATTCTCATCACTTGTCTGGTTGATATTGCACTGATATTGTAATGAGAAATTCTGTCTTGGTCACTCATGGGAGTTAAGGGGTTAAGTAAGCAGGAAATGGTGATACTATAATTCTAATAATGATTATTCATATGGGTTGTTTGCATTCAGATCATGAGTAAAAAGGGTCAAAAAAGGATCTTATTTCAAAGGACCTTGATAATAAAAGGGTGCCTACACATTTGTCATTTTGTTAACTGAGAAGGCTCAAGGCAGAAATAGCTTAGCTTTTTTGGGCAGTATTATAAAGGTGCCCTTTGTCCAGAAAGTAGGCAAGTTTGGCTCTTTATGAAAACTCATGAGAAGAAAGTTCTTCATTGTGATTGACTAATTCTGTAGAGTTTCAGTTTTATTTGAGAAACAAGGTTTTTCATTGTACCTGCATTAGAATGGCACAATTTCCATCAAATGCCTCCATACTACAAATAGTTTGCTGAAATCTGTTTCCAGAAACTCAGTGGTTCAGGTGGTGAGGGTATAGCTACAATTACACGTTGCCTTGCTAAATAATGTTTAAGTCCTAGGTGAACTTGATTTTTAGTATTTTATTGCATTTTGTGTGAAAAAACATGCCTATTACAAACAATGGAATGAAAAATATCAAATAAAACTTTCTTGTTATAAGTTAGTTGTGTAAATTATTTCAGTCACTCCAGACATTGCCATTAGATACTGTTTTTTACTAGAGGAACAGCTAGTCACCAACATTTTAACTGTTTTCAAGTACAGGTAAATCAGCTTATGCCTCAGTGTAGCTTGAAGAGCCTGTTTGTGAGATGCATGTCATCTACATATCTGTAAGAAAAAATAATAATGTTACTTCCAACTACACTGCAAGCCATTTTCCCCCTCAAGTCCTCTAAGGGCTGTGGAACAGTTCACACAAAGACTTGGTTCTGATTCCAGAGTCTTTATGAGCTGAACCAGGTGCACATTACTGGCTGATTTTATTACCTTGAAGAAGTATGGAGAAGGTACTTTTAAGGATCTTATCAGAATCAGTTGAGAAGGAACACTTCAGTTTGGAGCAGTTTAGCTGTTCTTCCTGCTAGTATGGACTAGGATCAACAATACCATGTGCCAAACAAAGGGTGTGTGTTACAACATATTGAAGCTATTTTCTGTGAACAGGCACATTTTCTTTTCTTTATTTGGGACAGTCCAAATTCCAATTAAGTGCAGCTCACGAAAAGTGTGATGTTTGTACAAAGCCTGAAAATAACTTGCCCTCATGACAAAATTTAAAATGTGCTTCAAAGTTGTGAACCACCAGAAAGCCACAACACATGCAACTGTTGTTTTCAGTTGATGCTTTTGTGTTACCTCTTACTCATCCCTTTCCACTATCTGCCCACTCAAGAACTTATCATTCGAAACAGTAAAATTGACTTTTTTTGGTCCGGACTTAGGACCCCGTCTCATCCCCTAAGAGGTGCAAGTCCCAATCCCTCTTGTCTGTGGTTGTCTGTCAAGCTAAGGAATTACCAAGCTATCAAATTTATAATTAAGCATTTAAAATCGATCCACAGCTCTATCCGTCCAGCTTGAAGTAGTATATTTCAGTAAGAGGGGTAAAGAAACAAGGCATTATGAACTAGGGAACTTTTTAAGTAAGGACTTGCTCAAAACTGGGCGATAAATGAAAGGCTTGTGCATGCAAGCGCACCACGGCCTTGTTAATATGCACCGCTGTTTCGACGAATGCTTACAGCTTTTGTTAAACTTCGGAATTTCTAGAACCCAAACGCTTTTTGTGCAAATCAAATCTATACCCAGGGTTAGCTTCACTCGTTAACGCAGTATTCATGTCCTGTATTTAGATTTAACAATGACCACCTAAGTTGTAATTACTTGAGAACTTGACAAACGCCAGACGTAAACAAAGCCTCGTTCATTTCGTTTACTTTCGCAATTAGCCCGTTCTTTTTTTACTCCATCGAACAGTAAGCGATAACAATGTGTTAGATATCACTAAGAGCACTTAACAATTAAGTATTATTTTAGAGTAAAATGGATGCAGGACCTACCGTGTCATAGGGCTGTTTATATGTGGAAATCGCTGTTGATTTTTTGGGTGAAACCTCGGCGCAAGAGGTAAGCCAGTTCCCCATCGTGGAGAGATAACTCGATCTGGAACGCCTTTAGAAGGAAACATCTGTCTCAGTGTGGACCACTCTTCACATCTAGTTGCTTGAGTAGAAGGATACCACTTTTCTTCTTCAAGATGCCGTGAAAAAGTCTTCAACGAAGGTTGTGTTTCGCGTTTCCAATGATTGTCGACAGCCATGTCTGGAGGTCCGCTGATAAATTTTGACCGCTGAACAGGAGCGTTACTTCTTAGGTCCAGAGGATCGTGTCTTTTGTTTACCCACACAACATCGTTTCTTTCTGGTTGTATTATAGCGGAATTTTTGTACCCATAGAGCAACCCACCAATTGATTCTGCAGCCATTTCTGAAATTCCTAGGTCCTGTCGACTTCAAGACTTTCCTGTTGCTAGGCAACGCTCAGCTGGCACTCGGAACCGGAAATTCCAGAACAAATGTCCTGAATAGTCTCTTGCTCAGTCTCTTACGGCAAAGGGCGCCTTTCCGTTTTCTGTGGTGTCAGGATTTCGCGAACGACCTCGTTCACTGATAAAAAAAGTGCACGAAGTTAAAGACGCGCTGATTATTCTTCTAATGGGGCTCAGGTAAGTTTAAACCCGTTGGACTGGCTCTTTTCGATTTCATTTCGTTTCCTTCATTCTTAACGCCCAATCCTTCGCTCCTTCTTCCAGCCTTTTGGTCTTTCAAGAATTTTTGATCGTATGTATTGGCTGAGGCTACGAGTTATTGGAAGAAAATTTTCCCTATGAAATTTTGCAAATTTCGTAAACAACCGAAAAACTATTGAAATAGTTTGAATTTGATCAAATACCAGTCTGAGAGGCGATTGGACGAGAACAGTTGAATGGCACTTGAGGCCACGTGGTCGTCTCAAATGATTGACTTTCGGCTCTTCGTGTTTATCTTAGCATTATCGCTGTCGTCTGCATGTGACTTTTGCATGTTAATTTACATTTTCTTACTCTTTGTGTCAGCAAGAAAGACATCGTCACCTTAAAATGTGGCCAGAGATCTCTGTCACGACAATTTTCGTGTTTGGTGTCGTTCTATCGTCCACGCAGAAGAGATCAGTTCCTGTTAATCAGTGGAAAGCAGGCAAAGATTTTGAAGGTTAGATTTCTGAATGTTGAGCGCAGAGTGCGAGGAATAATTTTAGAATGCAACGTATTAGCTCACTCCAATTTAAAAACAGAGAAATTTGACGCCACCTCAACTACTAACAAATCTGATGTTCTAAGTCGAGATAAATCGCTCTCTAAAGCACGAAAATCTAATGAATTTTTCATTCGGAATAATTTATCTTTGCAAACCAGTGTCAGTATCAGTCGTTTTACATTTTGATATTCCAGAAAGCGAAAGGTCACTGAAGGAGCGATGTCGATTTCACAATTATGCCTAAAATGCTTCAGTACTCAGTTAGAAATTTCATGCTGCGTTTGATAAACGCTAAAACTGGCTTAACAGCTCTCTCAAAATGTTTGGATGCTAAGAATAAAATATTCTAAGCGTGAACCCACTGAAGTGAGACAGTCCATTGACTTTGACAAGCAAACTGGAAAACGATAAAAACTAATGGGTGACGTTTTGATAAAATATAGACATTACTTTTTTAGTTTGTATGATAGTCTCTTATAGGTGAACTTTGTTTTATTTTTCTGAGCTGTAACAAAGGTTCAATACGCGTCCACCTTTTTGGCAAGGTTTGCAAGGGGAATTATGTTGTTTTGGGGGTATTAATTTAATTATCTTGAAAACTCAATCACTTTTGTTCTACTGTAATTGTAACGTGGTATTTTTTAATATTCCGCCTTACGAAAACAATCGGACGGAACAATGTGGTGTAAAAATTCTGCTCTCAAGCAACATGAAGGATTAGACAGGAAGCGCTTAAAAAATCATCAATTCACGTTTAGAGCTTTTACTAAAGATTAAACTGCAGATTACTTTAGTTTAATAGGCAGACAACATCGTAGACAGGTAATTTAGTGTTAACAACCGGGTTGAAAACGTAAATTAGCCACCGTAAAGGGTAAAAAAGCTGACGTTTCGAGCGTTAGCCCTTCGTCAGAGCGATTGATCGTAGACATCTCCCACTATAAATGAGCCTCAATCTTTCTGCACGTTAGCAGCCCATGCACGCTTACCATGAAAATTTTGTCGAGAGAGATAGTTGACATATAGGTTTTGTATGAACTGAAAGAAAATTAAAAGAAAACATCCGTCGCTGGGAGGCAATAACATAGTTGGTGACCTTTTTCAAATATCAGGATTGGGGAACAATATACAGGTAACGGGTAATAGACGAACAGTTTTCTTCTTTGTAAAAGGCAAGAACTATTACAAATGTTTCAATTGCAATCTGATTTTCTCGAAATTTCCATGAGTAATGTTCTGGAATTACCTCTGTCAAGTGTCCGTGATGCATATTTACTAACCATTTAAGGAGATCTTTGACACGTTGAGGCTTGGAGCGTCCATTTAACGCCAAAATGACTCGGTAGGCACCACATGCGGTCTTAAGAAAGTATGTGTCAGAAAATGTGCGGCGGTAAACATGATTTTATCGTTGCTAAAAGAGTACGTGTGAAAATATACGTCTTTCTGCAGTTTGCAATTTTGGTGAAGGAACCTAACAGTTCGAAAACTGTTTTCTTTTTTTCTTTCAATTAGTTCGACTGTCGCGTGGGTTCGCTCCTTACGCTGGTCAGGTGGTCGTTTTCCATCAAGGGGTCTGGAGCACAGTTTGCGACGACGCCTGGGACGAGAGCGATGCTTTTGTTGTATGCCGAGAGTTAGGTTATCCCAACGTTACCTTGGTAACAAGAGGATCTTTCTTTGGTCAAGCGGGGACAATAAATTTTGAAAAGGTTCGTTGTAATGGAAACGAGACAAGACTGGGTCAGTGTTACCACAAAACCTCGACACCACAGTCAAACTGTAAAACTGGATGGAGGAGGGAAGCAGGAGTGATATGCGAGCCCGCTAAGAATGCGGATCCCAGAGGTAGTGTGATATTTGATCGCAGAATTAACTTTCATAGGAAATACGGCATTTTAATTGAATGTCGTGAGACCATTTCAAGGTATTGACAAGGGTTAATCAGAACAGTGAAAATATAGAGAGGATGAGAACTAGAAAGGAACAAAAATAACAAGCGGGCTGTTTTCGTTATTTAAAGGAGATCTCAAATGTCCTTCTCGCGATCGGTTTCAAGTTTGTGTCTACGAATAATTGATTGGGTGGCTTAGGAGATTTCTAGACCATTCACACACAGAAGTATATAAAAATAGATGGAAACTCAAATCAATCTTAAGCTCAATTGAAAATTGTCCTTTCAATACCATGTGATGTTTCTACTGTAATTAAGTTGTTAAGTTTATTGTAGAAGGTGCAATACCGTGATCCAAAGAGGGAATCTGTTTTTTTTTTCTTGTCAGATCTCCCTAGAGTCCGCCTGTCAAATCTAACCAACTCGGAGGGCTCAGGACTAGTGGAGGTGTTCATGCATGGTCAGTGGGGAAGAGTGTGCGATTACTCTTGGGATTTTGATGATGCCTCAGTCGTCTGTCGTCAGCTTGGGTATCCTGGTGCGGAACATTCCACCTGCTGTGGCATGTACTTCGGGAAGGGTACAGGACCTCCTCTTATGGCTCGTGTGGACTGTTCAGGAACAGAAGCATCGATATTTCATTGCAGTCACGTGGGGAAGGACGACGCAAGGTGCTCTAGACGTTCCAGTGCTGGAGTTGTATGTAAACTGAATAAACCAAATGGTGAGTACTAATCATTTAATTAACAATGAAACAAAATAAGACAAGAGAGGGATCTAGAAAGTGTTAATCTATTAACCCTTCCTCAAGATTTTCCTTCAATGCTGGCAATCAAGAGAGGATGAAGGTTCACGCTCTCATGCTGTTAGACATTTCTTGGTCGCTCTAGGGAGAGATAATTTTAATTAAAGTCACTTCGTGTAAGCCTAATGTTTCGTAGCTCTTGCGACTCACCCGGGTCTAAAGTATACTGTAAGAAAAGAGAGAATAATGGGACACATAATACTCAAGTCCCAGAAAACCAAAGTCTGCTCAGGGGTGCACAGCTGATGAGGCCAATATTTAAGGTCATTTATTCATCACATCACGGGTTTATTTGGAGCCAATATAGTTGGTAGAGTGCTACACCGGTATCGCAGAGGTCATGGGTTCAAATCACGCATAGGCCTAATTTTTTTTAGGCCTTATTTGCACTACTGTTTAGGTAGTGTTCATTACTGCAAAGATCGGTTCCATTCTTCGGTTCGATTCTCTTCTATTTACTCTCGTCTGAAGCTTGCTGTTCGTCCGTTTCTTCCTGCTATTATTTGTAGGTTTCATATAAAGCCCTTAGTTGTACTCCTCAACCAAAGGTCCTGGAATTACTTTAATTTCTTTTCCCTTTTACATTGTCAGTTCGCCTGGTTGGTTCTCATCTCGCACATGCGGGTTTTGCGCAAATTCGTCACAATGGTCGTTGGGGATCTTTCTGTGATTGGGACTGGGGACTAGAACAAGGTCATGTTATTTGCCGTGAATTGGGTTATCGAAGAGCTCTCTTTACAACCCTTGGAGGCGTGTTTGAAAGACAGTCGGGTCCAATCTGGATAGAGGAGGCACAGTGTCACGGAAATGAATCATCCATCTTTAAATGCGATTTAACGTACATCCGGGATATGGACGAAGTGTATGGCTGTGATCATAGTCACGATGGTGGTGTCATCTGTGAGTCCGAAAAAGAATCAGGATCTAACGGTATGTTGGCTCAAATACAGGAAACGAAATAAACATGGGCCTCTTGGTTATTAGATGATTCGCCCCAATGCAAGTTCGCCCCACCTTATACGAGCTCGCCCCAGCACAACGAGTCAACTTTAAGTCAAAAAGAAGGACACTTTACTGGAAATATTTGACGTGGCGTGGTGCAGGAGTGAGCTCAACATTTTCCATTTCACAGGCGCTTTTATATGAATCACACAGCGTCTAAAATAGAGAGAATATCGAAGTATTTTATCCCCCCTCCCCCCCTCTCTCTCTTTCTTAGCTTCCTTCCCTTTTATTCAACAGAAACAGCTGCAGTCAGATTACAAGGTGGTAATTCTACTTACATGGGAGGGGTGGAAATCCAGCGGCATGAAATCTGGCACTCTGTTTGCAGTATTGCCTGGGATAAACATGACGCTGATGTTGTTTGTCGTCAGTTGGGATTCCCAGAGGCTGTGGTGGAACTTGCCCATGGTCAGTTTGGTTCCAAACCTGGACCTATGTGGTTGACGAGTGTGCATTGCCATGGAAACGAGACCTCACTGGACCAATGTGTGAGCGCTGGATGGGAGATTAAAAAAGATTGCGGAGAGAGATATGGCGCAGGGGTGATATGTAAAACGGAAAACGTTACCGGAGGTATATAAAGTGACCATAAGAAATTAGTGTTTAACACGAAAACAAAGCCAAAAAAAGAAAATTACGTGACAAGTGAAAAATATTCAAGGCGCATAACGCAGTAACAACTAGCAATGCAAGTACAAGCACAAGCACAAGCACAAGCACAAGCACAGGCACAAACGCAAAGGTAACAGCACCTACTTTACCGTGGAAACAGGCTCGACGATAGCACAAACACAACGATAATAATTTTTCCTTTGTCTTGTGCTTGCGTTTGTGCTTGCGTAAAAGCTGTTTCTACCATAAAATAGGAGATATTATGCTTGCGTTTTTGCTTGCGCTTGTGAAAACCAGGCTTATGAGTCACATTATGAATAAAAGTATACTATTTTGGCCGAGGTTCAAGTAGAAGAGATAATCACCTACTGAAGTAAAATATTTGATCTTTCCTTTCAGACGGTGAAATAAGACTTAGCGGATCAAGTGAAGTAAACGAGGGTCGAGTGGAGATTAAATTGGGAGGAATCTGGGGCACGGTATCAGACTTGGAGTGGGATCTTCGTGAAGGTCACGTGGTATGTCGTCAGCTAGGATACCGTCAGGCCGTGCGCGTGTACTCGCATTCAAGGTGATATATGATTAAGTTTCATGACAAACAAGGTCGCATGTGCAATGTAACATATGTTTTTAATTATCTGTTTTTCCACAGGTATGGCTCTGTGGATAAGAAGATTTTGCTCAGCAACCTGGACTGTACTGGAGAAGAGGATAGCCTCTTGGGTTGCCATCGCGAGTTGAATTTCAGGCTTTACTCGCCAGGCGATAATGCAGGGGTACAATGCACGAATGATACTAATTATAAAAGTGGTGAGTAGTTAACTGTGGACAAGCTTCCTTTCTCCCACCCATTCCTTCACCTCCACCCAAAACAGTTCTTCCCGATAAATAATAGAGTTTCGCGACTGCAAGGATCGGCACAAAAAGGGCGGATTGTGATCTGACTTTGAATGAGGTAAAGCCTTTAAGGTGAGGTTATCTTTTCTCAGAGGCACTGAACCAGGGTGATATTAGATTAAAGGTTATACTCGCAATCTGGATCCCGCAACGCATGCCTTTTTTCTAAAGAAGTAAATGGGGTAAAAAATTTCTAAAGGAACTGTGGTGCTAAGTCGGCGGGGGGAAGGGTAGAACAAGACAACTTGTGATGTAAATTGGTCACCGTCTAAATTGGTCACAAGGCTTTTGTCAGAGCAAATAGCTACAGTAATTTTTAAATCGCAAACGGCTTAAGGAATCAAGAGAGAATCCGGAAATGGCCAATCTCTTAACTCCGAATTTTCCATTCCCCTCGAAAGCACTTGGGCATCTTGGAATGTTAATGCACCGCTATTCAAATCAATAAATGGCTCGTAAGGAATTTTACCGAATCAAGGTGTACATGAGGGAATCTTGATCTCAATCTGACTCTCCCTTTTATTTTCTCTTGCCCTGGGCAATTTCAACTGAAGGATTTGACATTTAACTTGTGTTTTAACAGATGTTGAGGTTCGTTTGTCTGGTGCAGACACGCCTAACTATGGTCACGTGCAAGTTAAGTTTAATGGTACCTGGGGCACCATCTGCACCATGCGTGATCTACCTTACCCGTCGGCGGAGGTGATATGTCGTCAGTTGGGTTTAGGACCTGCGCTAAAACAAACATTTATGAATGATGAATGCACCGCAGTGAGAGAAGGCGCCGAGACTGTTTGGCTGTCTAGCTTGAATTGTCAAGGATTTGAACATTCTGTTGATCAATGTCCTCACAGAGGATGGGGTAAACTTGACCCTGAGTACTGTTTAGGTTGCACACCTAAGCATTGCAGTGCCTGTTTGATATGTCAGCCGGTGACCACTAATACTACAGGTAAAGTGGAACAGTCGTTAATTTTATTGGCGTTGTCGTTGTTTTTTCATTCCCCTCTGCCCAAGCGTATTTGGGTAAGTGATCGCCGATCACTTCACTGGATGTGTCAGCCCACACCGTTCGCACCATCCGTGATCGATCGCACCCTCAATTAAGAAAAAAATCCTGTTTTGGAACGAAGCAACAAGGGGCAATTAACAAATGAATGCAAAAGATATTAAACGTATACACATGAAAAGTAATTTTTCACTCTCAAAAGCGATATTCAGAATCCTTTTATTGCTCCACATTTTCACCAGTAAGATAAATTGAATGCACTAATAATATCATCGCACAATCTCTAGACATATCACTGCGCATGGCCGGTTCCAATCTTCCCCACGCGGGCCGTGTCGAGGTCCAGTACGCTGGAGTCTGGGGCGTGATATGTCCACGCTTTATGAGTGGCACTGTATTTAAAGTAATTTGCCGCCAATTGGGATTTGAAGACGTAATGGGTGACGTTACATTTTACGGGAGACGAAGGCGGACACCACTTTATGGGAAAGGAAAAGGACCGGTCTGGCTTAGCAAAGTACAATGCCATGGCAACGAAAGCAATCTGTCAGAATGCGTGATTGTCAGTCCCGGGGAAATTCTTTGGTGCTCACACACAGAGGCACTGGAACTCATGTGTCGTCCTAAAAATTATAGAGCACGTAAGTTGATTAGTAGGTAGAAGTAAGTGATCAAGGGGAACTAATTCGCACGGGAATTAGTCCTTGCCAACTAGTTAAGACACAAATTTAAAGGAAAATATGTCAAAAACAGCAAAGACAATCTTAAACTATGTATAGCTCCATTCAGTTCTCAACTGATGAATGGACACCCCGCAAGACGCCGACACTACTGTAAGAAAGACACCTTTTTGAGTCAGACTACTCTTTGAGAGAAACACCTCAGTAAGACAGACACCTCAATAAGACGGACAGTTCATTGGACAGACGCCTGAGTAAGACGGACACCACAGTAAGATAGACGCCTCGATAAGAAAGACATCTGGGTGTAATAGACACCTCAGTGAGACAGGCGCCATAGTAAGACAGACATTGTCCATCAGAAGGAGAAATGGAATCGCTCCTGATAATTCCCGTCGTAGAAATATTTAGCTTTAATACGCACGTTTAATTTTATCTACGATATAAGCCCGATGTAATGAAATCAGCCAAAAATTTTACATCAGCCCACAGCACTGAAATCCGTGAAATAATGATATACTTTGATTGATTAGCTTATCCGGTCCGCTTGGCTGGATCTTCCGTGCCGCATGCTGGGCTGGTTGAAGTTTTATACAATGGCACCTGGGGTACAGTGTGCTCCAATGTGTATCAGTGGGATGTATCCACACCAAACGCATTAGTTGTCTGTAGACAGCTTGGATTTGGGCCACCTCTCAGGTCAGTGTGCTTATAGAAATGGATGTAAAAAATGAACCAAAAAAAGATCAGGGCTCAGTGGTTTTGTGGAGAACGTGGTGGCTCGTAATCCGGCATCTTGGGACCCACTCCGCCTTGACCACCAGATCGATTTATTGCCGGGTAGTCCTTAGTTCTATTCCACGACTTCACTTGTAAATAGCCAACTGGTTTGCTTCCTGCTAGTTGGTAGACAACAAGCAGTCTCTCCTTTTCGGCGCAGTCTGTCGTAAAAAAATCCGCCGAAAAAAAAGTAGTTGATTTTAGCGAGTCGTAAGCGCGCCGTGCGGAACAGTGAGATTGAGGCGTTTGAAAAGTGCCCTTCACTCCCAGACTTCCTTATGGTGCGCTTGTTTTCTGACACGCGAATCCGTTCTCGCGAGAACTAGGGACTGCTCGTAATCTAGCTAAATGGGGATATAAATAATTTTACTTTAATAATACAATTTTATTATTTTTTGCAAGATACTTGAGTGTTTTTGTTCAGTGAGCCACAATAAAAACTAATGACTCACTGCTAATTGTGTCACCCTTATGAAGTTTTTTTTATTGGAAGAGGGAAGATAGTTTGTCAAGAATCATGCAAATAAATGATTTTCACAAGTTAACAGAAATTTAGAGTAAAAGAAGATTGAGAAATTAATAACTTGACTGGGATTGAAACTGTTTTTCCCTGATACTGGTTGGTTGTCACTTCGAACGAATCCGCCTCTTTGGCGCGATTTAAATGTTGTAAATTTTTTTATCACTGCTGTTGTCTCTTTCAAAACGTTGCAACTTACCTTCCTCATTGGAAATCAGTTGGGATCACTGTTATACTCTTGAGTGACAAAAAAATCTCTTGTTTCTTCTGCACAGATCAGCCAGTAGCTGGTTAGCTCCGGTTTTTTCCAACTGTGCATCACGTGAGCATGCTACTGGGCCTATCTGGCTGTCAAACGTCAAGTGCCGAGGAAATGAAAGTTCTGTAGACCAGTGTCCAAGTCTTGGTTGGGGAAAGACGGAGCGGCATTGTAGCCACACCTCTGACACTTGCTTGGTGTGCTATAATTCACGGTATCAGAACTCTGGTGAGACACTTTTCTACTTTTTTATTTTCGTCTGGTTTTTTGAGAAATATTTCAGTGCAAATTTGCTTTGTGCTCCACAGAAGTAAGACTCGCATTGATCAACGAGGTGATTTGCCGTCAGCTCACCAAAGCAAGGCACTTTCTGGGTGTCAGGGGTTGTAGCTGACAGCGCCTCCGCTTTTTGCTGACTCGACATCAACAACAAAGACAGCAACAACATTTTACGATATTCATAGTTTTCACGCGATGAGCTTGAGAGATTTTGGCCGTAAACCAACCGTGACTCACAAAAAGCTCCTTTGCGAATGCATCTTCTTGTTGACGGGAGTTATGATTGGAAGCATGTCCTTTTATTCTTGTTCATTTGTTTGTTTTACAGAAATTGCTTTGGAGCTTACTGGTTCCCAAGTTCCTTACGCCGGCCGCGTCAAAGTACGCTACCAAGGGGTGTGGGGCACGTTTTGTTCCGACGAATGGCAACATGAGATTGCTGAGGTGATTTGTCGTCAGCTCGGTTTTGATGGCGTTGAACTGGACTTAACTTTGAACAACCTAGACGAGTATAGCCGGCCTAAAATATATGACGTGGGCCCAGGCCCGGTTTGGTTTCGCAGCTCTGGATGCAAAGGTCATGAAAAAAATTTGTCTGAGTGTGATCTCACTGAGGACAGATACTGCTTAGACGATAACGTGGAGCTTATTTGCAAAATGGAAAATGTTTCTGTTAATGGTAAGCGGTTTCAATTTGTCAGGATATGTTGTAACGTCAAAAAAAGGTTAATTGGTGGGGTCGTGCGAGTTGATTGAACAATACCGCGGGAGCTTTTTAATTAGTTTCCTTTTCTTTGAAGCTAAGCGACAAGGAGTATTATCTCAAGATGCCAGTCCATCGCAGTTTGACAGTTTTCTGTAACTCATTTATATCACGGGTTTCGATAAAAGCCGATTACTGGCGGTCTACCGCCGCCCATAGAATCTCTCACAACCGATAAGGCCTATAGACCTAATTCCAAAACGGCAGCTGCCTCACATGATCTGGATCGAGTTGCATGAGAACGAGGCGTCGAAAGCCACGATTTTAGACCAGTTTAGCACGCTCTTGTGTTTGGGTTTCGCCTTACGGTCCCCTTTCTGAGCGTAACCACTAAGAGAAAAAGATAGTGAAACCCCTGTTAACACTCATGAGTCGAGAGGCACTCTGAGGGTAAACCGTCTCGTTCAAGAACAAAACACGATGATCAGCCTTGATTCAGACTCAGACGGTTCGGTGGTGCATTCAGCACGTTAACCATGATCCCACGCGCCCCCCCCCCCCCCCCCCACCGCAAATTAACTAAACTGAACCGGTTGGTTTTAAATTGCATTTACGGTATGCTCTTCAAAGAAATCAAATTTTTTTCGCCGGGGCGGCCCTTCAGTGATGAATATACACAATCCAGGGTTGTCCTTTCTGGTTTACTCTTACTCATTTGTTTTATTAGGAAATTCAGATTTATTAGAACATTCTTAAACTTCTATTTCCTCCAGAATTCGCTGTCAGGCTCCGTGGAGGAAGCCATTCAAACGAGGGCCGAGTGGAGGTTTTCTATGGTGGCCTCTGGGGCACTGTAAGGACCTCCAAATGGGACCTTACAGACGCCATGGTTTTTTGCCGTCAGCTTGGTTTCCCAAAAGCTCAAGCCACTTCATATAAACAAAACGACCTATCCAAGCAAGTGTTTTGGTTCAGTAATTTTGAATGTGACGGAAGTGAGGCCACGTTAGGGCAGTGTAAGCACACTCGGTTAGGAAAGGCCCTGTATAATGACGACGAACCTTTGGAAGTCTTTGTGCGCTGCGCGCCGGGCACGGCGAACAACACTTCCAAGTTCTTTCCCACACCAGCTGCATCGATTGCAGGCTTAAAGACCACCACTGTAACTTCAAAACAGGTGCCACCGAACACTGCGAACCATGTACCTAGCCAAACTTATACCTCTCAAGGTCCTTTGTCTACCTTAGCACCATCCACCACAGGCCCTTCCATTAGTTGCCCTAGAAATAGGTGCCAAAATGGCGGCTCATGTGAGCTGGCGGAGAGGTCATGGGAATGTCGCTGTTTGGAAACGTTTTCTGGGGACTACTGCGAAGTTAACGTTGGTAAGTTTATAGAGAAATTATATTGTCATCAGATCCGTAATGAAACTTTCCAATTGTTACCTGGACTAGAAACCTCACAGACCTCCCGCAGCTCAGGCTGTCAAATTTCAAGAATCTTAGCACAAGTGTGAACGCAAATGGTTTGATCACTGGTACGCTTCTCAGTGAATAATCATTATAACCGCTTAATAAAACGCCATTAGCTAATATTTATTAAATTGAATCGTTCTTCAAGACAAAACTTTGATTAGTATAAAATAACGATTGATTAGTAAATATAAGAGAATATTACATCTGGTGTACTGACGCGCGACCTTGTAACATTTTCATTTTGAATTTCTTGATTTGTATATATTTCAGGAAGTAATGCAGTCTCGATGATCTTGAAAATGACTTTAAATCAAGTGAGTGGCATGTCTAAATACATTTAGTAATCCATTTTAAGTTATGTTATGTCAGGAGCCCATTACACGGAGCCTCCATACTAATTGTACCCCTGAGTCAACCTTGTCCCGTATCTTTTTATTTTTAGAACTGAAATATGTGGGGGGTTCTTTAATTTCTCGCGAAAACACGCTAATGTACGCATAATTGAATACTTTCGTGCGGTCTGTATGTGACGTAAACAATAGAGGACCACAGCTCTCTTATGGTTGGCTATTATGTAAAACACCCGCGAAAAACCCCGTGGGAAGTGCTTCTTAAAATAATAAGATACGGACTCAGAGGATAATTATGGAAGATGGAAGCTCCGGGTAACGGGCTCCTGAACGTTATGTCCTTGTTATCGTGTTGAAAACAAATGAAATTTGCTGTATATTTCTCTTTCTTTTTCCTATTTTTCTTAGTGGAAACCTTTCGACTTTAAAAAGACTCTAGCTGATCTTTTAACAAGCCATTGCAAGTTGAACTCGTGTCTGGCTAAGGGAAAGTAAGTATAATAATACGTAATCAAAAACAAAAGCGATAATAAAACCATGTAACGAAATAAAATGGTTTTCTTTGTTTCAATTTCATCCTCCAAAGGTATTTCCGTCAAGTCAAAGAGTATGTACCAATGCGAAAATGATGCTACCCTAAGTTAAACTATGTAACCAATTATTTCAAAGAGGGAGGGGAGGGAAAGGCAGAAAAACTGTATGTATAGGAAACTGCGGTTAAAATACCTTAATGAATAGTTTGCTTATTTCAAAGTTATAACTTTCCTCTACGCTGGCTTTCATGGCCGTCTCGCACAACACGAGTTGAACGTGCTGATAAAAACGAAAATGAGTGTATTGAGAAATTTTTTAAACCATTTGGTAGCGAAAGATTTGGCGATAAATATTAAATTTAATGAAATTCCATGGCTAACCTTTCTTGGTTACCCGAATGACTTTTAAAAATTTTACGTCTGTTACTTTCTCATCTTCAAAAACTGACAAACAGATCTTTACTTTCTTCCTGACTTGCTTTGAATGGCCTTTAGTCGCTGAGCCATTTCGTTTGAATAATGTTCTCCAATTTTTCAGGAAATTAAGAACGAAACGCCTGATAAATTCTCCCAGTTTCCGAACCGATGACGTCATAATTCTCCAGGGCTACCCTAAACAGGTGCAGGGTACAAGTCTCTTGAATGTGAGGCTGGCCGTGAAGATGCCTGGGGATAATAACAATACCGTGATTTCGCGTGAAGGATTGCACCGTTTGCTGGTGAAAGTAGCGCCGGGAATTCATCGGCGCCTGGGTCATGAAGTTGCTTATATCGATAAAACAGATGTTCACTCAGCTTCAATTTCTTCTGTCCAACCATTAACTGCTCCTGCTGTTGGCCGCGAGTCGAATGGACGTGAGTTTTCCACGTCTCACAGCTCCGCTTTGATAGCGCTTGGTGTTGCTCTTGGAATTGTGAGTCTTATTGCCATCATTATGATCATCTTGTACTATCGGAAGGTAAAACGGTGAGTACCGTAGCAGTGAAGGAAGTTTGTTGTACAAGAAACGCTAGGAAAAGAAATAAAGGGGCACAGAGGGGTGGCAAGTGGATGTAGGAGGGGAAAGGAAGTTTTGCAAGCTGATGTTGGGCTGCATTGTGAGACGCTGAACGGCAGTGGGCAGTTCATGGACAGGATATTCGAGAAAGCAAGGCGACACTAGGAAGGGGGTAGGCAGAAGTTGGTTCGAGGGGGGAGTGGGAATTAGGAAAGAATCTAATGTTCTGAAGCCCGTAAGCCAAAGGCAGTAATCACATTCAGTTGCAGGGAAACGCATGGTCCATTGTTTAGAAGAGAAGAAAATTAAAGAAGGTTTTTTTTTCCGATTGTTCAAAAGATCATCTTCGACGAGATTCAAACCGTTATTGCTATCAGCATTTCCTTCCGTCAAAAAGGAAATTATGTCTACTGTGTTACTAAGCAAGAAGCATGTGGGAATAATTTTATTAGAGGATAAAAAAATCAGTTGTATAAATGGATAAAATATCTCCACTAGCATGGTGTTCCAATGACAAAAATGCTCGATCTTTTTCAGGGAGGAGGTTTCATTTGATCAGGAGGATTCGGGCGCGGACGAGAAACCCGGAGAAAATATACGATTGATGGCTCTTTGAATCACTACATACTCTTCAGGAAATAATTACCGGAGTGGACACTGTCATCATTACAGACTGTTGTAAAACTTTAAGAACCACACGCCAAAGAGGTTACTTGACAACATGTAAATCATCTCGCAATTAACTAGAACTGATACATACGTGTATTCCATGCGTGCATTCCACGCGTGAAGTAAGGGAGACGCGCCTTATGCACTGGACAACAGTCTACGCCAAAAACATTGGACTGTAGGCCTCGATCTACACACAGCCACATAAAAACAGATAAACAACAAAAAATGTCGCCTGATAAGGATGAGATAATAAAAGTGTGCGAGCTACAGAGTCAATACCTTCCTGTTTTCAGTAAAACTCATAGCCCACTTTCCCCGTGCCCTTCCTGTTCTGAAAGGTGACGTTAATTCTTGAGCAAGTAACGGGAATATTCCAAATAAGGAGACAAACTTGGACATTTTGATTTCTCCCGTCATTTGATAGCACCTTATAATTAAGACGACTAGTGTATCACATCTTTATCATTTCATGGATCGAATGACAGCTTTCTCTGACCTTTTATCCAGCTTGAGCTCAGAAATGTGAAATTTATGGTACAAGAGACAAAATTCATATGACAATACATTAATTAAACTTAGATGAGTTCTGTCCTTGCGACGATCCCATGCCAGAAAATAAAACGAGCGCATTCATGCGGTGTTGTTGACATCTTTGGATGCCTCCTAAGATAGTTCTTTGTGTAAATTCTATACCGATAATGAGATAATGAATGAAGACCAATCTTGACCAATTAATTTTCGACGAAATCTTCTTAAATGTTTGAGCAGTTTGAAAAAAGGATAATAATTCCTTTTTGTAATAAAAAAGGAACTGGTAACGAAGTTGTGTGAGAGCGATTTTGCATTTGTAAGGAATGTGAGAGACTGGATCGAGACCTAGATATTTCCATATTTGGAGGGTAAACATCTTGGTAAGTGGAGTTTTGGTACCCAGTCGGTAGAAATCTTTTTAATTTACGAGATGAGAGGGGCTTGATTCCCTGAAAATTCGCTTGCGATTTGTTTGTTGATACTTGCATTTGTTATGGAAAACGCTGGAAGTACGCCACCGCGATGTCCGTGCGGATTTTGGGGGTAAGTTCAGCGTTGTGATGTTCACTGAGAGCTTTGATCCTCTCACAAAATCACGACTTTCCAGTTGATCGTACAAACCGTTCTGAGTTAGGGTACAGTCTTATTTGAACTTTCGGTTTTTGTTTTCTTTTTCATGTATAGATCTCCGCAGACTTTGAATTTATGTTCCAAGTGTTACAAGGATGGTAAGAAAACTTCTAACTTGTTATATTTTAATTAAACTGACAACAACACTGTCTTCATTTCGCGATCTAGTTGTACGTCCAAACTCTGTGATAGTCAAGCAGTGTTTTGAGGGATATGAGTAGGTCTGATGATTTGTCCTTTTCGTCTTCTCTTAGAATTGCAGAGGAAGGGAAGAACAGAAGAAAAAGATTCGGCGCGTTTAGTAAATGAGTCTAATGCTCAATCGTCAAATCTCGAGCAATCCAAACATGACGTTGAAAAGAAGCCTTCGACCAGTACTGCAGAAGAAGGCAACCGTGAAATTGAACTCGGCAATAACTATATAAATTGTGGCAGTAATACAAAATCTAAATTAAAAGTAGAGAGAGATGATCCTCAAGACACAAGCAGAGAGAAAGGATCAGTGAACAAGGCGATAGATGTTCCGCTTCAAAAGAAGAGAAAACGGTGTTGGACTTGCAACGCAAAGCTTGAACTCGCTCAGAGAGAGTTGGGGAACTGTAGGTGTAGTAAGTATTGAAAGGTTCCTTACTTCGTTATTTGCTGATGATTTGTTTTTGTAAGCTCTCTGACATATTCAATAAACCCAATTATGTGGTGAACACATAATTGGGTTTATTGAATTATGTGTTAGTGAATAAATTTACTCGTGTCGCTGGTAGCTAGAGTTTGAGACAACTCTTTCTCATCGCCTATCATGTACAGAGGGCTTTTGAAAACAACATCGCAGTGATAGATACTAGTTGTGTGGGATGGATCCTGTGAAAGCAGAATTTAAGTCTAATGGTCTTCTAGAATTCTTTTCAGTGTTAGTGACTTGGAAAGCGAAGGGAACAGTACAGACACTACAGTCTGTGTTTTACTTTTCCTTCACATTCCATGAGTTTCTTGTTAGGCTACATGTAGCTGCACACACCCCACCCCTCCCCCCCCCCAGGTGGAATGGAAGCAAGGGAATATCTACGAAACCCCTTCCACCAATCATGTTCTGCAACGTCACTCTTTTGTAAGAAAATATGTAATGGGTTTAATTGGTTAACCCCTTTTGCCGATTCTTTCCCAAATTGGCAAGAGTTGGTAATTTATTTTCACACTAATCAACAAGATGGTGAACAGAATGCTTTCATGGTCACCTTTTCAGACAACAGTGATCTATGACATGGTTTTGAGGTAATTTTGTGCAACTTTTGGGATAGAGACATTTCAAGAAGAACTGCAGAAAGCCATAGATATGTTTTTTGAAGGTAACAATGTCTCCATTTTGTTATCAACTGGCTATGGAAAATCTCAAATATATCAAACAGCACCAGTGATCCATTGCCTCTCTTCTCTTCTCTAGAAGAAACTGCTCACTATATTTATTTTGCCACCTGTTAAAGCTCTCATAGAAGACCAGGTGCACTATCTTAATGGACTTGGGCCAGAGGATTGTCCACCTATTAAATAGGGCTAGTTGTTTCTTGAAGTGATTCTCTTGACTGAGAAAAGAGTCACTTTTACTTCATGCTTGCAGTGTAACTATCTCTCAAAGAAATCTGTAAAAACCTTGAGATTCTGCAGCAAATGATCCAACTTTTTTCAAAGACTGTGGCACTGTTTATAAATGCATGTGGAAACCACATGGACGTTGAAAATCTTAGATTCATAAGGGTGATGCTGATTGAACATCATCCTATTCTTACTCTATACCAAAAATTGCTCACAATCTCATCCTAGATCCTTAAAGCAAAGTATATATTTTAACTTAGACACTGAATTGCAAATTTACCTGAAAAATGGAAAATAAGTTCACTTTAATGTTGTAGTTCATCTTGATAACCTTTCACACTAACACATGCCACTTTGCAGGAAATATTATCAAAGTACATAATTTTGCATAGATAAGAGTGAAGTCACAGAACATGATTGGTGTCAGGTTTTCATAGACATTTCCCCCCTTCTGTTTCACCTGGGGGAGGGGGAGAGGGTACAGCTACACATAGGCTAGTTTCTTGTAAATTGTTATCAACATATTAATTGGCGCTAGGATGCCAAGGTACAAATCAAGGCTAATTTTGTTTAGTAAGTCCAGTTCAGCTGTGCACCATTTGTTGCTGATCACATGAATTTTCATCTACCATTTGAAAAAATTCAGAATTTCTTTTGAGTATCAAAGCCTTAGATAATGGTGAGTTTTCATTATTTCCTCTATAAAATTAATTGCTGATAACATTTTGACAAGGCCCTCTGGCTCTGAGCCATTATGCAGCTTTGTATGCAACAAGCATCTTGTGCACTGCTAGGATCAAAGTGATGAGTAGGATGGCAGGAAATTCAACCAGACCTCATAAAAACCAAAGCATTATTTGCATATTTTTAATGGCTATAAATGAGCAAATTAGTTATGAAGCATTCCTCTACTATCCTACAACTTGATTTACAACATAGCTAGTAAATTTGTCAAATCAAATTCAATTGCATGAGCATGCTTCATATTCCTATTGTGCACGCTCATGACATCAGCAAATAAATCCCTCAAGAAAAAAATTTTTGCCACAATTTTTTACTTTGGGATTTTGTTGAAAATGTTATAAAACAATTGGTTCATATGTCAGCTGTGCGTTCATCAAGATATGAAGCACTTGGGAAGTTTGGAGAGCACTCAAGAAGCTAGAGTTTCTCTTGGCTATGCCTCAAGCAACTCTTACGCATCTTTTGTGCTCAGTGGTTAAGAAGTGGGAAGCAATTTATCCTTTACACCCGAACATTAATGCTTATATTCTCCACACTTTTCTCTTTAATTCTCTATGGTACCAACATGGAGAATTTGTTTTTACAATTGGGAGATTCTTAAATTGGTGATTATTTCCTTGATTCTCGTGACCTTTGCAATTGATTTAAGGGTGATACTGTATGGAGAATTTAGAACATCATCACTCATAGGGGTTCTAGGGTTGATAGACATGTCCTTGGAAGTTGGTCAAAAAGTAAATAAAGATGTTAAACTTTAAATTTGTTATGACCATGAGACAGATATAAATCTGAGAACTTGTTATTGAAAATAAAGCACTTAGTAAATAATTTCTGTTTTTTACCTTCAGGTTATACTTTTTGTCAATTACATCGATTACCAGAACAGCACAACTGTGCATTTGACCACAAAGAGAGTGGAAGACAAGAGGCAAGGAAAAAGATGATCAGTCCTGGACCAAAGAAAGTGGGAAGATCTTTCCAGAGAATAGATGAATGAGGTGCATTTTAGTGGATCTAGGTTTAAATAATGTATGGTAACTTATAGACCATATAAATGACTACAGTAACTATTGATTACTAAGGGCTCGGTCTAATTTGTATGACATGTTGTGTTTGTGACTGAAGTAATGAATAAAAACCTGTTGGATGACAGATGAAGTTTATCAGCAGTCAGCTCTGGCTTGGAACTTGGACAGTAGCATTTTATTGAAAAGCTGATTGGAGGTTAAAATTGTTTCCAAAGATATGACTAAGAATTTTTTTTCCCTTGGTGGCAATGTCTTGGTTTAACACCAAACATTCAGAAATGAAAGGTAATGCAGGTGTGTGAAGGTCACAGAGGAAAAATTAAAGTCAAATCACAGGAATATTATTCCCATGACTGACCAAGACAGAATTTCTCCTTACAATATCAATACAATATCAACCAGATAAGTGATGAGAATGAAGAAAAATATCAATTTGGGGATAACTGGTTGATCCAAAACTAAATTCTCTGAACTAACATTATAAGAATTGTATGGTTGACTGTAAGGAGAATTAGAAATTTAATCTGGGAGCTAAAGCTGGTTAAGGAGACAGTCGATGAACATACAGACAGCTTTTGTAACCCTCCATACCCTAAGATCAAAATATATATTCTCCATGCTATTCTTGGTACACATCCTTAAGTACTAACAAGGAGAATTTGTGAAACAATCAAGAGCTTCACTTGTAGGTGATCATTTCCTTTATTCTCATGACCTTCATGTTTGATTCAGTGGTGATGCTGTAAGGAGAAATTAGATGTTAATTCCTCTTGGGGGGGAAAGAGCTAAAAGTTAGGGGGGGGGGGGCTGTAAACCAATACTGCCATGAAAGTCATATTTTTCAGATGTTTGAAAGTCACCAGCTTGATGTGTTAGGTATCTGGAGGCTTTACCCCACTGCAGGTTCACCTCCTAACACCTCTGCATATGCAATATGGAGTCTAAGTTTACCAAGTTCCTGTGAAATGCTGGGTGCAACAATGCAGGAATGCAAGTATTAAACTGCAAATTGTATATGTGTTGGTCATTGCTTAACATACCTAGGAATTTGCATGGTCATCAAACTTTGTCACGGTTTTGCTGCATCATTACATTTTATTTCAATATGTTACAATTTTGACAGCAAACAAGTATGTGATGCAAATTGATTAAGGTGGGGGCAAGCTTGCGGCATTGGTAAGGAGGGAACTCTCATTGGGGCGAAACCTCCATGAACTGATGTGTGCAAGTTAGTGAAATGTCAAAGATACCCGATTGTCATGAGTTTATTTTTCCTTAGACTAAGAGGGCATTGTAACAATTCCTGTCATCTGATTGGTTATTAATTCGGTATGGATTTTGCCATCTCTGCTTAGGCTCATGGTAAGGCTTCCATGAATGTTTGTTTTGGTCTCTTTGTCAGAAAAAAAAAAATGGGTTGGTAAACACCATGGGGTCAGGCAATACGGGACAATCTGTGACCCCGCACACGAAAGTACTGCCCTCATTCTGCAGCCATGAACAGCAATTTAAAGAACTTAGTCACAGTTTTTCACTGCATGGACCTCTCGGGGGTAACTAACATATGTGTTTATAAATTGTGATGTCCCCAACAACAGGGTTTCACTTGTAAAGTAAACGAAATTGATTGTAAGGGTTTCATTTACAGAATGGAAATATACATACAAATGAAAATTTCAAATCTTTGACTTGATACCACTTAGAGTGTTCATGATTTAAAGTGGACTGATTATGGTGAATAGAGATATTTTGTAAGAAATATTTACTGTAAGAAATTTTCCTTCGATTTCTGGTTTATATCAACGATAAATTTTCAAATTTAGTCAAGGATAGCTATCTTAAGTATTCATATATTGTGCAGTTATTTTGTTCATAAGTTTTAAAAAAGTATGATTGTTCAAGGAAGAATGTCAAAGGAATAATAAATTTAAAAGTCAAGGAACTATTTTTCAGATATTGCTCCCCAGATCCCTCAAAGTCTAACCTCTACTCGGCCAGAGTTGCTCAGCCGTATATCACCAGCTAAATAAAGACAAAAAGAGCATGTAGCGGCCGACACAAGCGAAGCAAATTTCAACGACAACTACGAGTTTCGCTAATGAAGACGCACTATGAAGCGAGGATATATTTTACGGAAAAGACTTCAATCGTTTTATTAGCGTAGTCGAGGTATCCAAGTACTTATCGTAAACTGAAATATGAAATTATAAGGAAGAAGCTAAGCTAAATTCTAAGATACGGACCAACATTCCAATCATTCCGATATAAAAGCAAGATCCCAAAAGACTAGCTAAAACTCTAAAACAAACTCACAAAAGACTATCTTCAAAGGATAAAGGAGAACCGCTTGAAAACGAATTCTAACAAAACTAATAACCGAGTGTAAAAAACGAGTAGCTTACTAACAAAGCATGAACAATGTAAGCCACGTGTTACAAGGTTGCAAAGAAACTGGTATAAAAAACTGGGCGAAACTACCGAAAGACTAGATGTTTAAACAAGCACAAAGAAAAGGAACATAAGCACTTACATAACAGTCCCGCTTGTAAGAGTTTGACCAAAACGAACTTCGAGATAAGGTGGGCAAAAGGGCGCTTTTCGATAAACACGTCTTATCGTTAGCCCAACGCAAGATAACTAACTAAAATGCGGTTCTGGGTGGAACTTAAAGATCACGTCCCTAATGGACAAACAGTAACGTCACTATTGCGGTTTAACACGTTTAATACGAAACAAACTTAAAACGAATCAATGTCCGGTGGCAAAGGCGTGGCAGCCGTTACAGAGCACGTCTATTGACTTGAATCGGAGAGGTGTTTATTGCTCAATGTTTGCTTGTGATGATCGCATGCATTTTTTTGTTGTTGTCGCGCTACATGGACTTTTAAAGCTACAAACCTCAAGTCGCGAGAGAAACTCTAAATATTTTCACAGCATAATGATATTTACCACCTGTTTCGTTGTCCGATTTAAATATCACCCCTGCGCCGTATCTCTCACCGCAATTTTTGTCAAGCGCCCACCCAGCTCTCACACATTGGTCCAATGAGGTCTCGTTTCCAATTATGGCAATTAAACACAATTTTTTGACTTAAACTCTTGGATATTCACATTTATGTCCGGTAGCCGGTGAAGTATTTTAATGGTTTGATAAAGCTAGCCGCACAATCAGTCTGTAAAAGTTTTCCGTTGTTTACTCACGGACTAAAAACTTAAATTGAAATTGGACCAAATGATTTAAGACCTACCTTTCTTCGCATTCTGTTTCTGAATTCTGCGAAAAATATTCCCTTTAACATGCGAATGTAAAAGAACTTATCCAAGACGTTACAAAAACCATCTTGGCCTTCGTAATGGTGGTCTTGATTCTTATTTACAATTAGATTGCGTCATTATAGCAACATTTTCTATAGGCGCGCGCCAGAAACAGAAATGCAAGATGGGTGTCCGCTGACTTCTAACCGTGGAATAATCCCGTGGGGCTCCTCGCAACACAAAAATTGCTTTTGAGTGGAATTTTTGATAAAATATTCCAAACATTTAGCTCTAACGAAAGAAACGCTCAAATCGGCTCTTTCCCGATACTCATCAATTACAAAATTCTAAGCGTTCTTTATCTGAAATTCCTGCCTTTGGCACAATTTTGTTGATAGGAAATAATAAAAATATTCTCGATTTCAGCGACAAACATTTAACCGATTTATAAGCTGATTATATAAAGAACATCTCGCGTCCCTCAAAGAATGTGATTTTAACTCCTGTTCAGCGAGTTAAAACGCCGATGGCCGTGAAGAAAGTTTTGATCAGCGAAGTGTCTTGGAGATACAAAGCATTGTAGTTGGGGAATAAACCTTCTTTCCAACTTCTTTCTTACTCTGTTCTAACCCAACCATATGCAAAATACTCTAATAACAGGCTGACTAATAAGAATTGCATAATTCAACAGATTCAAAGTTGCAGTAGTGTCTTCAGTGTATCTATTCCAAAGAGGTCTTCTATCTTTGTTTATTTAAATTTGATGCAGCAGTTGCTGAGAAGCAAATTTTGAAATTTTTACATAACCGTCTTTGAGGGTATAGCTATCTTGTGGTGGCATTACTGTTTATGAAGGCGGGCATGGCCCGCCCCCAAGCCAGCTTTCCCGAAGAGAGTGCCGAGGGCTTAACGTCAAGGCCAGTGCCCGCATGCATCCCAGCCACCAACTTATCCCAAGGTGAGTTGCAAATGACTCTGTGTGTGCACCAGCGCTAATCAATAAGGAAATTTGCTCGCGATTTTCTCTAATGACACGAGCAGTGATAGAAGTCGCAAATAAATCCGTTGGGGTTGAATTCTTCGACTGAAATCAAAATGTAGTCTCTTTGATAAATTTTTTATTATCGATATAAAAGAAAATTTTTTGTTATGTTTTTAAAGTGTTAGATAAGTTCAAGCTACGACGAGGTTTTAGTTTCTTTGTCAGGTGAGTTTCAAGTTTGCCGGCCATCAGGTGCACCTGAAAAATTTACAGTGATTTTTGGTCAGTCCAAATTTAACCTATAAACGCCATGTTGTACGCTTAAGCTTCACTCAAGGAATTATATTTCTGTTAGTAATTCTTAACACTAATTAGTGCCAGCTCTTGCTTGTTGTGTGACCGCGAAGGCGACGAGAGCGTGACAGGAAACGGGTGCATGGGAAATGACTTCATGATCGGATCAAACGCTCTTTACATGACACTAGGCAATAACTCGTCAACCAAAAAACTTACTAAACTTTGAATTCATATGAAATTTCTTAACAAGCATCCAACACTATTAAGAAGTTTGAAAGAACCTCTCAGTAGAATTTCTGTAAAAATTCCTGACTACCGAACATTTAGTCAATGAGACTGTGCGTGGCTGCTGGGAAGTTAGACTCAGCGTTACATTCATATTTGTGACCTACTCCGCTCCTTAACACGAAAATGAAAAAGCTGAAGATTTATTTGACATCCAGTTCCAGCATGACGATTGAAAAGTAAAATAGAATGCAGGACCAAAAAATAGATTCGTGACTTACAAATTTAACAAATGATACACCATTTTTTGTTTTCAGTTTAATAAGCTCGTAATTGTATTCAGCTTCTTCGAAACTGCTCGTGTTACCAAGTATACCGTTTTGTTATACGCTTGCGGGGAAAATCACAATTTCACAAGAGTTACAGGTGAGTACTGGATTAATGACTAAATACACATGAAAAAAATTTAAACTTAAGACGAAAGAATCAGAGAAATATGACATTAATTCGTCGTAGGCGAGGGAGAAAGAAAAATATCTAGCTTCCCTCGAGGATTCGAACCTCGACATTCAAATTTTATGATCTAAAGCTCCGGTCCAAAGCTACAAAAGACCTCGTTAGTGAGTCAAGACATACGCTGGGTTCATATTTGACAAAACTTCCCGCATTCTCCTGGCATCTGAATTGTCGAGAACGTCATGTCTGAAAGTGGATTAAGAAAGAGAGTAAAGTTCAAGCTCCATCGTCAAATGAAGAAATTAAAAACATCGAGATCTACGGGTTTAGAGATTGAATCCTCGAAGATGCTTAGATTCTCTTAATTTTTTATCCGTGACGGATAAAAAGATTTTTCTTTATTCGACCCCGAGAAAAAAACTTCTCTCTCTTTATAAGTTTGAATTCGATGAAGGAATTATTTCTCAATGCTGACACTAAGATAAACATAATAAACATTGAGGTAGCTGATTTATCTGCCCAAGAGAGATTTATGAAACTACAGCATGGCTGATTCCAGTGTTATGTGCACCGCTTGTGCTCCTGGTACAATAACAGTATAACTCGTAGGTTGTCTTCATCCTTGTCAATTCAGTTTTATATGGCAGAAACTGTCCTGCTCAAGGGAATTGAAAAATAGACTTTGATTGCGGATGGCCTGTGTCCTCCACTGAAAGAAATATAACTGAGCCTAAATCGCAGGATGAAGTAATAGGAATACAGAAACATTAAAAATATACACACAATTCAAGAGAAAGAACAAAAACAAAGAAGAAGACGAGCACGTGAACTTTTATGAAGTAGAAGAGCAATTTTAATATCTAAACTGGACATTTGAAGAGATTTGTTATTTACTCGTGACAAGGGATTATAGACTGATCTATTGCTCGTTAATATGAAATCTTTCATGGTTCCATCGAAATTTTAGTAAAGCTTAACGTATTATTCTTGATATTTTCAGGCATGTAGAAATAATAATGACAACTTTTGGAGGATAAACCGATTCAGAGGATGGCGGTTTAACAGGTACTAAAAAATTTTAATATTATAAATTAATATAGTGTAATTGTTCCGATGATTAGTCTCGGGGATTATTCAACAATATTCACTGAGCCTGCGGCGAATAATTGTTAATCATGACACGTAATACCCCGCAACTGGACAAGCTTGATCATGAGCTTAAGAAGGCGTAAATTCGGCCAAGTTCCTTCTCAGGATTGTTAAGGACCGAGACGATGGTTTCGTCAATGAGGGATATATTATACAGAAAAATTATTTATATAAACCAAGAGGTTACCAAAATGAATGAAACTGCGAGACTCGTTGCAGTTTTCTTTATTTTGACTTATAAGGAGATATACTCGTGGCTCCTTTGTATTTAAAACTGCTGGAAAACGTTCTATGTTTGTGAAACAAAAAAATGTCTGGTTAAGAAATTACAAAGTGATGGACCGGCTACAAGCACATCATTTCTTTTTTTCGACTTCAATGTGGGAAATCCTGAGAGAGCACATCACACCCTCTCGGGTGGCTGATTCACACACAGCTGGATTCGCCTTAATCTTGTTCGCTCGTGGGTTACACCACATGAAAAGAAAAAAAAAGGACGAGAAATTGGAGTAACGTGATAAAGAGCGAGGTGACATAAAAATTAAAAATTTAACCCCAAAAATTTTAATTATTACGAATTCTTGATCATGTATGAAAATGAAACTTCGCCAGCGTTACCATTTATTTATTTATTTATTTTTTTGGAAGCTTTGCAAACATCGTTCGACCTCCTCAAAAATTACTATTAATTTTTTCTTCAACAATTTAAACTACTCATCCAAAAGGTGATTTGTCGTATTTCGCGGTTTGGTCGGAATTCGGTTTTGGCGGGAATTCTCTTTGCGCAATGACGAACTACATTAGCTCATGTGTTTACTTCGGAAGGTAAACATTTAGGCTCAGAAAATGCTAATGGTTGCGTAGAATCCTGCTCTGAAGGACGCGGAGAATACCACGCCTGTCTAACAAGAGAAATTTCCTTATATCCCCTTTAAAAT